AGGTCCTGTTTCCAAATACGCTGCATCCTGCCACCTGGTGGCAGATCTGGGTATTAGAGACTCTATAGAATACTACTGTACAATGTAAGACATGAGAGCTACAAGATGCTACAAGATACTCCCAAGTGCCCCAAACCATTTAACCAAATAAATAAAAAATACCAATAAAGCACAGGTAACTCTACATTTCAAGTCTAAGTCAACATGCAGCCACAAGGAACCTTACGAACACATTCGTGGCCCTATAGCGGCCCCCATTTCTGTTTGAGCTTGATTCTACTGGTGGAGAGATCTTTCTTCTCATGCTCTTCCATTTCCTAAAAATCTTCAGGCATGGAGTTCAAAGGTCACTAAGGTCCCCAACAAGTCATCTGGTCCAACTGCCCCATTTTACAGATTTGAATAGACCGGTTTATATAACTCAATAACTCCATTCCATTGTGCTCTGCCCGCAGTGCTTGGTAAACTCATGGCTGTCCCTATGAATTAGCTGACTTTTCAGAGGCAGGTGACTAGCCCAATAACTCAAATGATACAGGTGTTCATTTTTTTGTTTCTTTTTAAAATTAGTTTTTGTTGGTAGTCTGTTTTTATATCAGACTACTGTGTTTTCACTACTATGTTTTCACTCCATGTCTCAACGTCTACCTTATTTTGTGGTTGTTCAGCTGTGTCTGACTCTTTGCGACCCTATTTGGGGTTTTCTTGGCAAAACTGGAGTGATTTGCCATTTTCTTCTCCAGCTCATTTTACAGATGAGGAACTGAGGCAAACAAGGTTAAATGACTTGCCGAGGGTCACACAGCTAGTAAGTGTCTGAGGCCAGATGAGTCTTCCTGACTTCAGGCCCTAGCACTCTATCTTCTGCACTACCTAGCTGCCCAGCCACCCCCTTATAACAAAGAATAAAAAGGGAAGACAAATAGCAGACTAGCAACAAATCAAGATGTTAAATAAGTCTGATAGTATATGCAGTGGTCCATATTCTAAAGCTCTCCCTTCCCCCATACCTGCTTATATTTCTTGTTTTGAATCAAGCTCAGTCATTACAGTTTTGCAGCCTTCATCAAACATTTTTTTGTTGTTCTTTCATTTTACGCTGTTTAAGTCATTTTGCATGTTGGTTTCCTGGTGCTGCTTACATTGATTTGCCTCAGTCCATATACATCTTCCTCATGCTTCTCTGTATTCAGCATATCCATCAGTTCTTATAGCCCAGTAATGCTCCATTTTGGTTAGGTATTACCACTTGTTTAGCCATTCTTCAAATGATGGATAATAGACTTTAACTTAGGAATTGCTTTATGTGCATATTTCTAGCACTCTGCACAGTCCTTCCTCTAACTTATCACTGTTTTTAGCTCCTGCTGTGCCAGAGCAGCATAGGTCTTGTGACCATATGTTCTGAATTTTTGGAGATGGAAATGATTTTGAACGTATTATCTTATATGACACCATGTTGTTTAGTTGTTTCAGTCATGTCTGACTCTTCATTTCCCCATTTGGGGTTTTCTTAGCAAAGATACTGCCACCTAGCTATCCATGTGGCACCATTAATACCTGCGTGGGAAGTCCTTCCACCAATGTGAATTGCATCCTATTTATAGTGTATAGTTTTAGAAAGTTGCTTGATGGTCAGAGAGGCTGAGAGACAGTTTGGTAAGGTGGAAAGAGCACTGGATTTGTAGTCAGGTAACCTGGGTGCAAGTTATGGTTTGCTATTTCCTCCCTGTGACTTTGGACCAATCATTTCATCTCTCTAGGTTTCGATTTCCCTTTTAGCTTTGATTCTGTGTGAGAAAAGTTGAATTACTTGCCCATGGCCATATATCTAGTAAGTGGAAAAGGTGGGATTTAAACCTAGGTCTTCCTGACTCCAAGACCAATATTATGCTCTGCTACAAGTTGCCTCTCATATCTTCAATTTAAAATATTTTGTCCCATTGTCTCCAAAAATTTGGGAAATGCCTCAGAAATTCTGATATGTTAGCAAATGGTAATGGAATGAATCGAGTCATAGGAACCCAGGATTTAGAACTGGAAGTTAGTGTCATAGTATCATAGAATCCAATAAACTCATTTTTTAGATGATGAAACTGAAACACAGAGAAAAGTGTCTTGCTCAAACCAGTAAGTACTCTAGTAAAAGACTGAATGTAATTAATGATTGAAAACCACAAAAATTAGAGATCACGGGTTGAAGAAATGTTGTCCTTTTTAAAAACAGGTGCATAGTAGTAGCTCACATTATGTGTTTACAATGTGTACATGCATAATTTTATGGTGCAGGAGGCAAGACGTGGGTGGTGGTGGTAACAGCTGTATGTTTCTGATTGTAAACCCCAAGACAGTATGCTGTGGATTGATGCAAAGACCATTAAAATCGTCCTGATTTGAAAGACACAGATTTAAAAATATAAACTGTCTGGCTTGGAGAGTAGAGTCTAGATGAGTCAATCATCTACCATTCATTAAGTGCCTACTGTGTGCCAAGCACAGTGCTAAGTGCTGGCCATATAAGAAAAAGGCAAAAGACTGTCTTTACTCTCAAGGAGCTCACATTAACATGCAAACAGCAATGCACAAAAAGTTACATGCAGGATAAATTGGAGCTAATCAGAAGAAGAAAGGTGCCAGAATTAAGGGGAATAGAGAAAGGCCTGTAGAAGGTATAATTTTAGCTGGGACTTAAAGGAGACCAGGAGATAGAGATGAGGAGGAAGAGTGGGGGCATGGGGGCACAGGATGAACAATACTGGGAGTTAGAGATGAAGTGTCTTGTGTGAGGACTTGCAAAGGAGGCCAGTGTCACTGGACTGAAGAGCATGCCCAGGAGGATAAGGTATAAGAAGACTGGAAAGGTAGGAGGGCGCTAGGTTTTGGAAAAGCTTTATAAGATAGATGGCGTGGGGTGGGTGCATCTAGGTGGCACAGTAGATAGAGTAGTGGGCCTGGAGTCAGGAAGACTCCTCTTCCTGAGTTCAAATCTGACCTTAGACACTTAGTAGCTGTTTGGCCCTGGCCAAGCCACTTCATCTGTTTGCCTCAGTTTCCTCATCTGTGAAATGAGAAGGAAATGGCAAATCACTCTAGTATCTTCGCCAAGAAAACCCCAGATGGGGTCACAAAGAGTCACACATGACTGAATATAAGCCAAACAAAAGGTTTTATATTGGACCCTGATAAGTATACTTATGGCATTGGCCTTGAAGTCATAAACCTACCAAATATTCTAGGCTTTGAATTGTACCAGCTGTGTAGCTGTAGACAAAATACTTAGGTTCTCTGAACTTCAGTTTCCTCATTTGTAAAATGGGTACAATAATGCCAATCTTGCTTACCTTAGCAGTGAAGATTAAATGGAAACGCATTGTAATCTGTGAAGTGTTTTACAGTTGTAAGGCATTATTATGATGTCAGGCAAGGGCTGCCCTGCCTCAGGGTATTAACTGACTTTTTTCAGGTTCCATCTCAGAACTCATCTTTCTGGAGGACTTTAAGGATGCTTGCCCCTCAAGATGGATGCAGAGGAGCTCTCTAGTGCTGGCACCAGGACCCAGCCTTGTGTCAGGCCTGCCATCCGGATGGGTGGGCCTCCACTCACCTCGCAGGATGGCTCTATTTGGACAGCGTTGTTTTCCTTCCGTCTAGGCAGAACACAGGTCCTGGCCTGCCATGGCTCATTTCCTTAGCACAGGACAACAAACCTAAGTAGGAGCTGCTGCTGTTGGCCCCAGGACGGGCCAGGGGGAAGGGTCACAGGGTCACAGAGCCCAAACAACCCCTAGCTTCTTCCCTTGTACCCCTTTTACATTTTTACAGCTTGGGTTGGTAGAGAAGCTAGAGCCTTGTTGGGCTCATAGGGTGGAAGGTGGGGGAGACAAATCTAAAGTGAGGTGCTCTCATTTTCGTTTAAGAAGCTTTGCTTAAATGGATCATCCTTCATTCAGTTTACTCCAGGGGAAGAATGGGAAAAAAAGGAGCACTGATCCTGGAATAAGAAGGCCTCTGTATCAGGGGCGTGCTAGGAAATGTTTAACAACTGCTTCTCTAGCGGAAAAAAAATGTACCACAACACACTTTTAATTTGACCTGTATTATTATTATTGTTGTTGTTTTGCAAGACAGTCAGGGTTAAATGACTTGCTCAGGGTCACATAGCTAGTAATCGTCAAATGTCTGAGGCTAGATTTGAACTCAAGTCCTCCTGACTACAGGGTCGGTGCCTTGTCCACTATCTACCCAGCTGCCCCAACCTGCATTATTAACATTTTTTTCACGACTTTCTTAAGTCTAGACAACCAATAATGCAACAAATCAAGCCTCGATTTGTAGCTACTCACATTGAAAATTTAACAATCAGCTCTCTGGAGCTGGTTCGAGGTGTCTCCAGCACACCCCTGCCTGTGTTCAAATCCCACTTCTGACCTCACCTGTGTGATGTTGGGCAAGTCAATTCACCTCTCTAAGCCTTGGTTCACTCATCTATAAAAAGAGAAAGCTGTACTCAGTGACCTCTGTGGCTATGATCCTTGTTATTCCCAGAGAGGAATGAAAATGAGTAAATTGTCTTGAGTCCCCTCCCCACCTCCCTGCTCCCATGCTCAGCTCCTGAGATTGAGGAAAGATTCAGGGCCAGGGCCCTACTGGACCGCCACTGGGTATGCCACTGACCACCTGGTCTCTTCTTTCTCAGTGACTCTCACCCCGTCTTTTAGAGTAGGAGATTGCTACCACCAGGCACTGGTGAAACTCTCCCACACCTTTTTCCTGTAATTTAAACTGAGCCTTCTGCTCTAGCAAAGCCTGCTTCCTCTATTCCCTTTCTGAGTATACTAACTCTGGGTGCAGAAAATGCCCTCATTCTCAAAGGCCCTTAGGAAAGTGCTCAGGACTGCAGTGGCTACCCTATCCTCCAGCCTAGCCAAAGCCTGGGAAAGGGGCGTGTGTTCCTTTAAGAGGCTGGCCCAGGAGTGGTGGGGTTTGTCCTGTGCTGTTTCCTTTTTGGCCATTCAAGAGCCCCAAACCTATCCCGGAGCCCTCTAGCCTCATTCACTGAGCAGGGGGCAGTCTCACAGGAGCTGGACTGGTAAGTGGGAGTCTCTGAAGTCCTGGCCCAGGGAATCTAGGGAGGCACCTTTACAAACCTGTATTTTTTTTTTTTACAATCTCTTTTTCCCTAGTGAGACTCCCTTACTCCTACCCCTGGTTCAGGAGAGGCTGGGCTGGGATCTGAGACAAGATGCAGGACTAGAATGGGGTCTGCTATTTGGACACCAGGACATTCAGAGGCAGAGGGAGAGACCCCTGAGTTTTGGGTCAGGGAGCTGGGCTCTGGGAGGGGGCCTCTTTGGGTTGGAGGCATGGTGTGAGACCTGGTGCCAAGAATGAAAGATTGAGACAGGGGAATCTTGGGGGACAGGCTAATTAAGGTTTAGGGCAGAGGTCCAGCTGACTACCCAGGGCAGAGTAAAAGGATTTGCAGTCTGCTGTAATATTCTTCAGGGGGAGAAACTGTTTTCTGTATGCCAGTTCCACAGAAGTTTTCCTGATGGAGTGAGGTGAAGAGGTAAGTTGGTAGGATTGGGGCCAGGTACCTAATGAGTGCTAACCTTCAGTTGCTTGGGGGAACCTGAGGACAGATGGGGGGTTGGTAGTGCTGGAAATGACCCTGTTGGCTGGCCTGGGCTAGGCTGGGACCTCCATTCTAGCTCCTCTAACAGTCCAGGAGACCCACGTTTTTCAGCCTGCCTCATTTGAAGAAATAAGAGAGGGACAAGCAAACATGAGTGAAAGTGTGACCCAGAGCCAGAGCAAAGCGGAGAACAGAGCTTCATGCTTCCCTGACTTCTCTAGCCCCTCTCCTGGAGTGCCCTCCAGCAGTGGGAGGGGCAGGCAGACTCATCTGTGGGGCATTAGAGGAGATGAGGGCCAAGAAATCTTGTCTCTGTCAGAAAGTGGGACTGGCGGGAGGTCCCTGGAGTGTTTCTGGGGGCAAACAGGTCTATTAGATAAGCAGAGGTTCATCTAATGGACTCTGTAGCCTGGAGGATCCTTTTCTTGGGGATCAGGACATCCAGCCCTTGTAGGAAGAGGCTTTCCTGATGTATGGGAGAGGCTCTGGTTCCCTTGTGGGCTCAGGGTGAGTGCACAGGGAATGTCAGGAGGGATTGTGATTCCCCTCTCAGCTCACCTCCCGCTTCCACATTCCCTTGACTGATAGTGGCAATTTCAAAGGAACTCATAAACCTTGTCCAAACAGGGGGCACAGATGTCAAATTCCTATCCCAGAGCCCTGGGGGCTAGAGGTTATTGAGAAGCCTGGTAGGTGCATGGCACCCTCTGCTGGTAACATAGGGATGTGCAATCACCTGGATACAGAAAGACACTTGGTTTGGAGCCATAGATCATAGGAATATAATGATTCAGAGACAGAAGGGTCGTCTCATCTTCCTCATTTTGCAGAAAGATCACTTGCCCATGATAGCAAAGGTAGAAAGTATTAGAACTTAGAATTAAACCTAGATTTCCAAATCCAGCTTTTCTACTAATCCTTATAAAGCACTTGGTAAATCTTCAAGTGCTATGTAAATTCTATCTATCTATCTGTCTGTCTGTCTGTTTGTCCATCTGTCTGTCCTTCCTTCCGTCTGTCTGCCTTTCCGTCCGTCTGTCTGCCTTTCCGTCCGTCTGTCTGTCTGTCCGTCTGTCTTTCCACCAGTCTGTCTTTCTGTCCGTCTGTCTGTCTGTCTGTCTATCCGTCCATCTCTATCCATCCGTTTATCTACCTATTTATCTATCTGTCCATCTGACTGTATGTCTGTCTATCTAGTTTCTACTCCTCCTCTTCCTACTCCTCCTTCAGAGTCCGAAGTTGATACAGGAAAAGCCAGAAACCAAGGGAAATTTTTAAATTTGAAAAACTAAGAGGTATGTGATAGGAGGGAATGTGAAAGACTGCATTTAACCTTGTAAATAGAATTTTGCCTTCATTTCTTCCCCCTTAATTGAGGGGGAGAGTCTTATGGCCCAGCCCCAGCAGTTGAGGTCTGGATAGAGATTTTCTTGCTCCCAGTATGCTCTGTTGCATCAAAGTGTAAGGAAAGGAGCACAAGGAGTCAGTAGACATAGGTTCTCCTCCTAACTTTGCTACTAACCAGCTGTGACTTTGGACAAGAGTCAGCTAGATGGCTCAGTGGGTTGGGCTTTAGTCAGGAAGACCTGAGTTGGAATCCTGCCTTAGACACTTACTAGCTGCATGCCCTTGGACAAGTCCCTTAACCTCTCAACCTCATTTTTCTCATCTGTGAAATGGGAATATCAATAGCTCCTTCCTCAGAGTTTGTAGTGAGGATCAAATGAGATGACATTTATAAAGCACTTTGCTAGCCTTGAAATACTCTATAAATCGTAGCTATAAAGTGAGGGGTTTGTTAATCTCTAAGGTACTTTCCAGCTCTAGGAAGTGGTTTTTATCCTCAGTCTAAAGGATGCCAGGAAGATCAGAACAGTTTTGAGGAATCAACCTGGTGCTCTGGTTTCCTTCTCTGAATGATTCATAACTGGACTGAATCCTGGGCATTCCCTATTTGTATCCCTAAGCCAGAGGAAAATCAAATTGGCCTCCAGTGGTAGGGAAGAGCAGGGTGTTGTGTGACTGTTCCTTGGGCTCTTTTGTTCAGTTGGATGCAGGACATGAGCTGAGCAAAAGGATATGGGGAGTGTGGAATGAAGTCTGTGAGAGCAAGGTTAAGAAGGGAGTGTTCTCCAATGACCTTGTGTGGGCAGAGAGATATTTCCATCTCTCAGCTTCGGAATCTCAAGAGTGTAAAATCTGGAAGAAACTTTACAGATCATCTAGTCCAACACTTTAATTTTACATATGAGGCAACTGAGGTTCAGAGAGGTGTAATTACTTACCTTAAAGGCAAAACAGGAATGAAAGCCCAGGTCTTTTACTGACCAATTTAGGGTTATTTCTACCATGCTAGTCTGCCTCTCCAATTTATACTCTGGCTAAATTAAGGGCCTACATACACTAATTTGGATTTAGAATATTAAAACCCATTCTTGTCTCCAGCCTAAAACTAAAGAAATGAAAGAGGGGAAAAGTTGTGGGGAGCCAAGGCAGGAGAGACATCAGAGCATAATGGAAAAGAATGCTGAACCTGGATAGGAAGGCAAACTGCCTGACAGAAGAGACTGCATCATCATTAAGCAAATGGTACCAGATCGCTTGTCACATTAGATGATTGGAAGTAAGAAGGCTTGCGTTTGAGTTTAATTGTTACCAGTTAGGGGGTTTGGAAACTTTTAATTAGTCATGATCTTCTGAGTTACAGTTGGGTCATCTGTCAGATGGGGAAGAGAAAAATAACCCAGGTATGTTGTGAGGAAAATGCTTTGTAAATGTGGTGGGGGCCTGGCTGATGAGGGTCCAGTCCAAGGACCATGCTCACGGGACCCATGCGGATGATTGATGAGTTTGCTTCTGGAAATGTGTGATGATGCTGAATGGAAGTCCCAGCTCGCCACTGTTTCCTGGCTGCTTAGGAATGACAAAGAGGGGCCTTTTGGTTGTCTGGTGGCTGAGTTGGAACCGAAAGTGTCTGCCAAAGTTTCCAGGAGTCCAGAGTTGGAGGAGTCACCAGAGATCCAGGGACCAAGCTTGGGAAGGTGGCATTCCTGAGGAGTGACATGCTTGACCTAGCCCAGCTGCGTACTGATGTTGCAGCTGAGATGAACTCAGGGAACTCACCCATTAGCCTTGCCAGTGGTAGGAACTCAGTGGTAGGAAGAATGTCTGTAGCTGCCACTTTCAGTTGGAGCCCACTCTCCCCAAGGACTGAGGTGGTTCTTCCAATCTTTCTAGCTCTAACAAAGCTCTCCGCCAAAGGAAAGACTTCATCCCAGACACAGGCTTGCCAAGGAGGCCACATGCTCCAGAGTTAGAGCATTATCCTTACTCCTTGTGTGGAGCAGGAAGGAAAAGCATGAGTTTCTCCACTGGAACCTTTGGCATACACTCTCAGTGATAGCTCGTCAGCCAGCCATGAAGAAAGCAGCCAGAGAACAGTGTGTGTCGAAAGTGAAGAATCAGACTCTTCCATCGTTGCATCGCTCCAGAAGCAGGCTTGTCAAACATCCACGTGGGACCACTAGGCTTCCTCCCAAAGCTGGACCTTCATTGGCCAATATAGAAACCTTATTAAAGCCCTGTATAAATGTAAACTGCTGTTGCTTCAGAACCGGTCAGTCCTTCTTTCCTTTACGTTCCCTGCAGCTGTTGTTTGCTGGTTCTATGCCACTGCATATGAACCCCAAAGCACCCAGAAGAAAAAGTGGCACATAGTCTGTATTTAATGCTTGTTGATTAATTGATTATGTCTTGTGGATGCCACTGGGAACATGAACAGGGCCCAAAGCTCTACTTCATGTTCCTTGCAATCTTGACTCCATGAGAGCAGAGACTATTTTTTTTTTGCCTCTTTTTGTATCCCCAGTACTTAGCATAGTACTTGGCACGTAGTAAACATTTAATAAATGTTTATTGATTGATGAACTATGGAGAATCCAATATATCCATCAGGTGGGAAAGAGATACGGATTCATTCCCTGAGTCTGCTGAAGAGGATCCTTATGGCTCCTTATGGGGGTAGAGAAGAATTTTGGGGTAAATGGAGTCAGAGATCCAGGTCCTGGAGCAGAACCAAAGTATGTTCCCTCTAGCTGTGGGCCGACTGCCTGACAGACAGGGCATAGTTCACTGGGGCAGCCAGCTGGACCACACTCAGCCTGAAGGGGTGGGAGGGCTGGCTGCCAATCTTTCTCAGCAGGGAGACCAGACTCAGGGTTAAGCAAGACATGAAAGGCTTAACTTACCACCCAGGGCTAAGAAATGGTAGGAGAGGAGACTGAGCTGAGGCTACATGGATTCTGATTTCTTTGTGGCTTTTGAGTCGTCAGCAAAGGAATTTTTCATGGACTAAGAAGGAAGCTCAGAGAGGGTGCCTCTGGGCTGCGCCTATCTTGCTTGGTCCAAGCTGTCTAGATGTCAGAAGGATGTGTCCTGTCCTCCTTTCCCAGTGGAGTCGTTCTCTCGGTCTAACCCATGTGCTCTTTTCTTTTCAGCTGGCTCATTTGGAGCCCTCAACCCTTAGCCAAGAGCAGTTGAGTTTCTCTGGATGAGAAATGCTGCTGGTGGTGTTGATTGTGTTTCTACTGCCCTCTGGTTGTCCCGGACTCCCTTTCTACAATGGTTTCTACTATGGAAATGTCATGAATGACAGAAGCTACAGAAATGGCAACGGAGAAGGTGGGTATGCTTTCTTATTTGTGCAAGGCAGGGGACTTCAAGTTTTCCTGTTTAACCAATCAATCAATCAGCAAACTCTTAGTAAGTGCTTACCTATAGTCTGGGCTGGCAGTTAGGTGGTGCAGTGGATAGAGCCCTGGGCCTGAAGTCAGGAAGACTCATCTTCCTAAGTTCAAATCTAGCCTCAGACACTTAACTAGCAGTGTGACCCTGTGCAAGTCACTTAACCCTGTTTGCCTCAGTTTTCTCTTCTGTAAAATAAGCTGGAAAAGGAAATGGAAAACCACTCCAGTATCTTTGCCGAGAAAACCCCAAATGGAGTCATGAAGAGTTGGAAATGATTGGAAAATGACTTAACACAAATATTCTAGTCACTGCACTGGGGATACAAAGAATGCAAAAACAATCCTTGCTCTCCATGAACGTACTTATAAGAAAAAAAGTTTTAATTTAGATCTTAACAGACATCAAATACAATTCAGAGTTCTTAAAAATTCAAAGTTGTTTGTCTTTACAATGCTGTATGATGACAGCGTATTGCTCTCCCGGTTTTGCATCAGTTTATTAAAAATAAAAGGCTTCCCAGATTTCTCTGAAATCTTCCCTCTTTCCATTCCTTAACAGTGCAAAACTATTGTGTTACATTGGTAATTCTCAAAGGGTGTACTGCTAGTTCCATTGGGTGGGCCATGAAATTTTGGATGTTATATTAATGCAGAAAAAAGAAAAAATTGAAATAATGTTGTTTAAATGCGTTTTACTTATCCAACTACCACATGTAGTATAGCAACCACATAAAATAAACAAAACCTGCCTATTATTTGTATGTGCTAACCTCAAAATGCATCAACCTTGAACTCACAGAGAACTCAACAAAAACAGCTGCTCTTATTTAAGGGAAACTGTGAATACTGGCGTTTTTTGTCTCTCCTGTAGTGTTGCCAAATTAAATATTCAGCTCTTTGAACAAAAAGTTTGAGAACTAGTGTATCACATCCATGTACCACAATTTGTTTCTTCATTCTCCAATCAATGGGGATCTACTTTGTTTCCAGTTCTTTGCTACCATAAATATGTTGCTATGAATATTTTACTGTTGGGCTTTTATTTTTTTAAATAAAAATTCGTCGTAATCACAGTTCATGGACAACTCTTTAGCCTTTCGGTTGGGCTGAAAATGTAGATTGTCCTTAGCTCCTTACTTCCACTCTCTTCCAGTTAAGAAGGGAATCTAGTTACAGACGAGTCTGTGGAGCTGGTGATTGGCTAATACTTTTGGGGGTATCTTTGCTGTTAGGAGAACATTTCTTCAATGTGTCCTGTAGCTGGGCAGGGACTGGCCTGGGAGCTGGCTTCTTCTTCTAGCTGACCTCTTCTGACCAAAATTAAAAAAAAAGTCATTCCTGTTTTTATTTATTTGGTATTTAGTTGGAAGGTTGGGTTGAACATCTGTTTTCTTTTTCTTTTGTTATTGATTTTATTTTTAGATTTTTATTGATAACTTTTTGTTTTGTTGTTCTTCTCCTGTCACCTCTGAGAGAGCCATCCCTTGTAACAAAAATAAGAGGGGGGAAAAGCAGTTTAGCAAAACTGATGAATCCATCTGGTCTGATAGTATATACAAAGTTCTGCACCAATACTCTCACACCTAGGCAAAGATGAAAAGTGAAAAGAGGTACATTTTATTCTCTCTTCTTCTGGGTCAAGTTTGCAGGTTGTCTTTTTATTAGGACCTTTTGAAATGCTTCCTTAAGGGCAGCTAGGTGGTGCAGTGGATAGAGCTCTGGCCTTGGAATCAGGAGGACCTGAGTTCAAATCCAGTCTCAGACACACAATACAAGACATTTACTAGCTGTGTGACCCTGGGCAAATCACTTAACCACAATTGCCAAGCAAAATAAATAAATAAATGAAATGCTTCCTTAGACCTTTAGTTGCTCTAATTTAAGTTTTGAGTTGTGGTTGTGAACTGTAGCTGTGTGATAAATACCAAGGGACATCTTGCTTCTTGATACTGGCCTTAGATAATTCCTCACCTTGCATTCCCATCTCTCCCAAAAGGTTTCTTCAATGGGGTGAAGTTGGTGGTGGAGACACCTGAGGATCCTCTATTCACTCACCGAGGTGCCAATGTGACACTGCCCTGCCGCTACCTCTATGAACCGGCTCTGACCTCTTCACGTCCTGTCCGGATCAAGTGGTGGAAACTGGGGGAGAATGGAGCCCCTGAGCGGGATGTGCTGGTGGCCATTGGGCTGAGGCACCGAAGCTTTGGGGAGTTCCGGGGTCGTGTTCATCTGTTACAAGAAAAGGAGCAGGATGTCTCTCTGGTGATCCGTGACTTGCGCCTACAGGACTATGGGCGCTATCGATGTGAGGTCATTGATGGGCTGGAAGATGAGAGTGGTGTGGTGGAACTGGAACTGAGGGGTGAGCAACTAGGGGAGGGGGAGAGAGAGAGAGAGAGAGGGAGAAAGAGGGAGAGAGAGAGAGAGAAGAGAGAGAGAGAGAGAGAGAGAGAGAGAGAGAGAGAGAGAGAGAGGGAGAGAGGGAGAAACAGAGACAGACTGAGAGACAGATAGAGAGACAGACAGAGACAGAGAGACAGAGGGAGAGCAGGGGGGTGCATTATTGGGGTCGGGGAGCCCAGGGGAAAGGGATGGGTGTGGTTGACCCTCTCTGCTCCTAGGGTAAGACTGTTTTCAGAGTATCATGGGATTTTGATCTTGAAGGGACTTTAGAGATCAGCTAATTCACCTCCTTCGTTTTATAGGTGAAGAAACTGAGGCCCACCCAGAGAAATAAAATGATCTTCCCTGACTTACATAGGTAGTGAGTCACTGAGCCAGGTTTCAAACCCAGGTCTCCTGACTCGTAATCTCATGTTCTTTTCACTATTCCCTGTTACCTATTGTATTCTTAGTATCTCAGTTTCTGCCAATGCATCCCCTAGCTAACCAGAGCCTTATCTGAGCTATTATTATGCTCATTTAATAGGTGGGGAAATGGAATCCAGGAGAGATTAAGTACCTTGCCCAGGGTCTTACAGTTAAATGTCTGAGGCAGGATTTGAATTCAGGTCTTTTTTATTCCAAGTCCAAAGTTCTGTCCACTAGACCATAGTTCATAGCTTATATTTATAAAGCCCTTTTTGTATAGTATCTCATGTTATCCTCACAACAACTCTGTGAATATCATTCCCATTTTATAGATGAGGAAGTGATTTGCTCAGCTCTAAATGTCAGAAGCAGGCTTTGTGTCTAGGTCTTCTCGATTCTAAGCACAGCACATGCTGTTAGCATGTCTAACTAGACTGCTAACATTCCGTTGGCATGTCTAGACTGCAGAAGTCTGCATCCTTCTCCTGAAGTGAGGAGGAGAGGCATGATAAGAAAAGATAGGGGGCTTCATAGGACCAAGGTATGGGCTTGATGTCAGAAAACCAGTTTCTAGTCCTGTTTTCATCTTGTCTGCTTAGTAGCCTTGTGATTTTCATCTTAGTCACTTTACCTCTCTCTATTTTCATATCCTTACCTGTAAAATAGGGATAACATCTCCCTTGATGTCTTCAGAAATTGTCAGGATCTAATGAGATACCGTATATGAAAGCCTTTTGAAATCTGTAAAACACTATTAAAACACAAAGAATTATTATTTCTCTGATCCCTGGATCTGGGTCTACATGGGTTTACTACGTGTAGGGAAGCAAGTTTGGTTGGTGACAGAGGCTGTTTGCTGGACACCTCTCCTTTGTGGGAGGGAGGGCTTTCTGTAGTGGGGAGGGCCTCTCTATAGCATAAGAGAAGTCTCTCTGTGGCCAGGGGGTCTACAGTCCCCCCAGACTTATTGTATTGAGAGCTAGGAAGAGGAGAGGAGTAGATATAGGGCTGGTAGGGGAGTGGGGGTGCGAGGTGGTAGAATTACAAGTGGTATGGGGGGATAGTTGGGGGATGGGAATAGGTGGTGCCAGAGGTAACTGGAAATGGGGTGATTAGGGAGCTGGGAGTGAGTAAACTCAAAGCAGTAGATAGGAGAGGAGAGGATATTAGATGGGACAAGAGAAAATAAAGTAGATGGGGTTCAGATGTGTGGGCCGTGTGGTTGAGGGCCAGACAAGTTGTGAGATTAGAAAGGAACCTTTATCTTCTCCATCCCCTCACCCAGACCTCCTTTCCTCCTCAATCTACACATCTTATTTCTGGTGTGTGCTGCCTTAGGCTTGTCTAGTTGTTTAAATTTCTTGCTTTAGGATGTAACCTGAAGCTTGTGGTGAAAAGCCAAATAAAGGTCACGCAGATTCCTCAGAGATCAGGCCACTAGGCAGAGTTTCCAGGCTCTCAGGCCACTGCTGATGGTGCCCTGCTGCTTCCTAGAAAAGAAGAAAAGTTGCCTAATAAGGTCACTTGAGCAGGCAGGGCTAGAAAATGAGGGCTAATTCTGCTCTCTGGCTGGGATATGAAAGCTGCCAGCACTGGATTCTTGATCTGATCACTCAGTGGAGGCCCTTCTCAGGACCTAGAGACCCTCAGGGCTGATACAGAACCATAACCCATCATCCTTTTAGCATTTCTTCTGTCTCTCCTTTTCTATTATCCTCCCCGTGTACTTTCTCCTACTTCACTCTCTCCACTGGCTTCTTTTTCCCTCATATTTGCTCATATCATAGATACCTACCCCTTCTACCTCCTTCACTCCCAATTCATTCTGTTAATGTATAGTCTAAAGTATAAAGCTTTTCTCCCTTCCTTGACCCTTTGTGCATCAGTTTCTAGTTCAGATAGCTTACAAAGGACCTCCTAGCCATGCTGACCTCAGGTTCGCTTTCTTCAGAAGCCAGTCCTGACTCATCCATCCAACTCTTCCCTTGGTCACAACTCCTTGTCCTCTCCCTCTCTTCTCCTTGCCAGGTGTGGTGTTTCCCTACCAGCCACCCCATGGTCGCTATCGGCTCAACTTCCAGGAGGCACAGCTGGCCTGTGAGAAACAAGATGCTGTGATGGCCTCTTTTGAGCAGCTCTTCAGGGCCTGGGAAGAAGGACTGGATTGGTGCAATGCAGGCTGGCTCCTGGACGGGACGGTGCAATACCCCATCACCCTGCCTCGGCAGCCATGTGGGGGGCATGGCCTAGCACCCGGGATTCGCAGCTATGGAGAGCGTCACAAGAGACTGCACCGCTATGACGTCTTCTGCTTCTCTTCCTCTGTGACAGGTGGGTGTCCCCTGGGAGATCCTCCGCTTTCCTGTGTTTGTCTGGTCACGGGTGTCTGGGGAAGCTTTCCTGGATCAGATCATGTGTGGGTGTGGGGGCTGGGTGACATTGGTCATGCTGTAGCATGGGAAACTCAGGCCAGAGGCTGTGCCAAGAGTTTCTAACTGCTAAATCAGAATCATAGATCAATATTATTGTATATTATATATGTAATATATATTATTTTATTAATTAATATTAATTAGAATTAACAATAGTTATAAATAATAAATTATAGACAAAATTAATTAATTTTATTAATTAATATTAATTAGAAGATACATAATGTATATTATATACATATATTATATATGATATGCGTATATAATGTATGATATATACATATATGTAATATATATTATATACAACATCATATTTTTATATATGTGTGTATATATAGAAATATATATTTAGACAGCTATAGAAATATATATTTAGAAATATTATATAGAAACATATACATTTGGAAATATATGTGTTTATCTATACTTGTATCTATCTATATATCTTGTTTGTACTTTGTTATTTGAATGTTGTTTTCCCCATTGGGGAGAACCCTCTGAGAGCAAGAACTGTCCTCTGCTCTTCTTTGTATCCTGCACACTTAACATAGTGCCTGGCACATAGTAAGACAATAAATGTTTGTAGACTTGTTGGATTAATAATAATAATATCAGTAATAATGATGATGATTAATAAGGGGAATTGATAAGGTGCTTTACTAAACTTATCTCATTATCTCATTTGCTCCTCTGTCTAAATTTTGTATCTTCTTCAGCATGCTCTGCAGACAGTAGGTGTTTAATAAGTGCTTACTAAATTGAATTGAACTATAATCCCTACTGTGCTGGTTGCTTTAATGCTCATGGCTCTCCCCCCACCTCCTTGTCCCCACAGGACGGGTATATTATTTGGAGCACCCAGAGAAGTTGACACTGGCTGAGGCACAAGAGGCCTGTCAGGACGATGGGGCTCACATTGCCAAGGTGGGGCAACTCTTTGCGGCTTGGAAGTTCTATGGCCTGGACCGCTGTGACGCAGGCTGGCTGGCTGATGGCAGTGTCCGCTACCCTGTCACTCGTCCCCGACCTAACTGTGGATCCCTAGATCCTGGAGTGCGAAGCTTTGGCTTCCCTGACAAGGAGAGCCGGAAATATGGGGTCTATTGTTACCTACAGAACTAGGGTTAAGGAGCTGGCCTCCCTTGGCCTGGGCCCTGCTCCCTCTCCTTTTTCCTCCATCCTTCCCCCTGCTCCCCCTCAGGGCTGGTGTATTTATTGAAAGTCTCGTTTTCCCTGAGGGTTGAGGAGATTTAGATGACTTTTTACATTTTTCAACAATTTGTTTAAACAATAATATTTTTTATTATGTGTTTTTTAAAGCCAAAAGAGGAAATTGAATTTTACTAAGACATGCCTTTTTATATGACTTTCTTACTTCTGGGCTCCATCTGTCACCCAGGGCACTCAGTAGGAACATAGAATCTTAAAGCTAGAAGGAACTTCAGAGATCATCTAGTCCAATTGTGTCATTTTATGGATGTAGAAATGGAGTCCCAGAGTAGGGAAGTGATTTGTCTAAGGTCACACAGCAAGTTAATGGCAGAACTGGAATTAGAATCCAGATCTCTAGACTCCTTGTCCACAGTTCGTAAAAGTACCCTGGGTTCTCCCTTTTCCTTCTATTGGTGGAAGTGGGGGTTATTCCTTATGTGAGAGGAAAGGAGAGATTCAGGGGGTGGAGCTCTGTCCATCTTATGTTGACATCCAACAAGACAGGGGACTCTGAAATCAAGAATTTGAACAGCTCTTGCTAACTTGGCCTTGTGCCTCTCACACTTTCCTTCCTTCCTCCCATTTCACTGGGGACTATTCTTGTCCAGGTGAGTCCAAATCAGTCCATCCAAGAAGTCGATGCTTCAGACAACATCCCAAGCCCCACATCTATGCCTGGCCTAGGGTTTTTGGGTCTTACTCTCATTTTCTACTTCCTTTCTGGGGAGCTACCATTAGGTCTGTATTTTCCAAGAGCTGTAAATGGTGCTATGATTTTTTAAACAAATGGTAGTTCCTTCTTAGTCCTTTTCCTTCCCTTTGTCTCTACCTCCATTTTTTTTTTGACTGAACTGGAAGATGGATGACAGTACCTCTTGCTCCTTGGTGAGGTATGGCTGCGCAGAATGATAAGAGAGAAAGAATCAGGGTGCCCACGTGTGTGCATATTTGTTGGCAGTGAGTTGAGAAAGTATGGGAGAATTACTGCTCCCCTGAGTTGGGGGCTGCTGCCAAGGAAAGGTTTTCTTAAATGCATGCAATAAATTTGTGAAACAAAGAGATGGTTCTGAAGGGAGGAGTGAGTGGGAAAAGCCCCTACTGTATTAGTGAATCTTTGCTGCTACCGGAGGCTGGATTCTAGGGTCAGATTTGTTTTTATTACATCTTCACCCAGAGCTGCAACTCTGAGCTGAAGATGTCTTTAAGGTCTCATTACAGAAGCACTCTTTGCTCCTAGAGACATGTAATACTATATAGTTCAATCTGGAAAATCCAGGTAAAATTTTTTGGCCCTTCCTTAATACCAGAAAAGAAGTCTGAATTATTATGGTATTAACAGATAAGACATGTTGATGATATATAACGCCATACATTTATTTTATGCATTTCTGAGTTTCTAAACCTTTTTGTGTTATCTGCTGGCCTTTGTGTGTCGTCTGTGGCTTCCACACACTCTCCTAAAATTCCCATTTAATTTCTTGCTGGCCTAGGATATATCAAAACCTCTGTGGAGAAAGTCAATGTGAAAGAGATAGCTGTATATAGAAATTCCCTTTTTTTGATTATAGTAAAAAAAATTAGAGGGAGGGGTTCAAGCAGAGAACCAAGTGTGGCCAGTGTTCTACTTCAGACTCAGGCCTGAGGATTTCTAAGACCAACTGAAGGGTCCTCTCTGCTCTCCCCCACTTACCTTCTGTGGGCCCCAGAAATCAAAAGTAAAGGATGGATTCAAATTCTGATCTCCATTCACTCCAAATATTCCTCTGTGATTTCTCCCCCATTTTCTTCTCAGTGTCTAATCCTTTCCATATACCCCTTCCAAGTGCATAAACCAACTTCCTTAAGTACATTCTGTTTCCAGAGCACTGTATGAAGCCCAGTTCTTGACCTGACTATGAATCCATGAAGACACACACACAGATATGCATATCCACACATACATACTCCATCATGTTAGCCTCAGTTTTCTTGTCTGTAACATCAGGGGGTGGGTGAGATGACCTCTCATATCTCTTCTAGCTCTAAATCTATGGTCCTACAGAAATCATTTTGATAAGAATAAACTGAAGTAGGTTTTACTGTATATGGTTTATAGCAGCTTGTCTGCTGTACAGATACCTAGTTCCAAGTTTCCTTTGAGCAAAAAGGATTTATAACCTTTGGAGAGTTAGCCAAAAAGCCTTTCCACTTCCCCAAATATCCCTTCAGTAAGCCCTTAGTTCTCCGGCGCCATTTCTTAAAATATAAGGGAAAAAAAAAGGACTCTTCCAATTTTTTTTTATTATCATCATTGTCAGTTTTCAAAAATATAAATAGGTGCACGGAACCATGGTGGCCTGCACGGTCCCGGGGGGTGACGCTCGAACCTTGGATCAGGAGTGCCCCCCAACCCTGCTGTGACACTGGCTGTGACGGCAAATTGGTGGTGAGAGGAAGCCAGAGAAGCTAATTAGTCATAGAGTGGAACCAGCCCCAGAACCCATCCTCCTTTGAGCTTCTCCTTCCATCTTGCCCTCCCCATGCACCTTCCTCCCTCTTCCCCCTCCCCTTATCACAGACCCCCTACCCTTTCTACCCCCTTCACTTCTGATACATTCAATTACAGTTCACTAGTATACTAGTTCAGCATTCTCCAAGTCCTCTGGCTCTGGAACATCCACGTGATCCCACTTTCCCTCTCCCTCTGCTAGCCCTTCTTGGAGATTAAATAACAAATAATTACATTGTTCTTGGATAAAATCAGGAAACAAAAAATAATCTTCTTTATTTAATTTAACCCCCTCCCCGTGTCCCCTCCTCCCCCCCATCCCTGCCCTGGTCCCTGAAATAGGCACAACATGAAATTGAAGAAAAGTATCTGAACTCAGACTGTGGGGAAAAATATGTGACTGGAATCTAGTTTTTTTGCTTTAGTGTTTTGTGAAAAGAAAATAAAACAAAGTATTTTGGGGGATGATTTTTGGGGGGTGGGTATATACATGATGTGGGTTTTTTTCCTTTTTAATGTAATTCCTTATATGACAGAAAGCAACAAGAAGGTGACAATGACTCCGTGAAATAGTGTCAGTTCCGTAAGGTCTGTCAGCTCATTCTGTCCTTTTTGGCTCTCTGGGGGGGATTTTCCTGTCTAGTGGGCTGTGCTGTGGACGTTGCTGCGCTGAGGCTGAGAGTTCCGCCTTTGTAGTCGTCTCTTATAGGTGGTCGCTGTGGGATGGGAGGAGAACATAGTGATTATTCAGCAGAGGGAGGACATGGTGAGCCTACTCTAACCCCATTGGTGGTTCTCTTCCATCTAGTTCATTCTGCTTGGTCCTGGTTTCTATTTGGTGATAGATCTTTGGGCTTTGCTTTTCCCCGAAATCTACCAGACCTATCAGGTCTCAGCCATAGTTAACAGACATGTAGAAAATCTCTCCTTTATCTTTTGTGTCACGTATGTTTTTCATGGTAAGCACCCTCATAGATACTATGTTCCCGATATGATTCTGTTCAGCTTTGTGGATCTGTCGGGTCCTGGGGCCAAGAAGGCAGCTGGGATTCCAAGAAAATTCTTGGCAGAAGAATGTTGGAATTGGAATCACAGGATCTGGGTCCCACTTAACTACAGGTACAACCTTGTACAAGTCATTAATCCTGTCTGGGTCTCAGTTTACTCATTTATAAAATGAGGGGTTTTATATCACGTGATTTAGAGCATTTTTTCATATGACTAAAGATAGCTTTGGTTATTTCATCTGAAAACTTCCTGTTCATATCCTTTTGCCATGCATCAGGTGAGGAATGGCTCTTATTTCTACAAAGTAAGCAAAGATATTTTTAAAAGGGCTCAGGGCTTCTGAGTAGAGCTCTGGTTAATGAGGACTTCCAGATTAATCTTGGACTGCACCAAAATACAGCCACTTCTGGGATGAGATGGGTAAAGGAATGCAGAGAAGGATGATAGAGAACAGATCAAAAGCACACAACATGTACGCCTAGTATGCCTAGATGAACTCTAAGATCCCCTTCCAGCTCTAATTCTATAGTCATATTTTTCTATGACTCCCTACTCCCATTTTTTTCTAAGTAGGAATTGGGACATTTTCAAAAGTAAAATTCTAGAAATTCTGGAGGAAGGATGCCTTATGCTGAAATCCTTAACTCTCTATGTTTAATCCATTGATCATATCCTCCCAGGATAGCATGGGAGAGGAAGGAAGCAGTGGGTGAACAGAAACAGCCAGTACTTACAGTCTATGCAGGCTATCTGTGGCTCTTCCCAGTTTCCACTAGGTAGGCATCGGATTGTGGGCACATGGCGCTGGACAAAGCCCTCCTTGCATTGGTATCGGACCAATGAGTTGATTTCATACCGATCCTTTTTCTGTCCAAAGGTCCTAGCATGTTCAACTGCAGGAGGGTTTCCACAAGCCACTGTAAAATTGAGAAGGTGTGTTGAAGCAAAGATATACATTTTAATTTAATATTTTATTTTTTTCCCCCATTACATGTAAAAATAATTTTAACATTCATTTTGAAAAATTTTTGAGTTCCAAATTCTCTCCCTCCTTCCCCTCCCCCTCATTGAGCAGGAAAGCAATTGTATATACATGTGTAGTCATGCAAAACATATTTCCATGTTAGTCATGTTGTGAGAGAAAACACATATTTTTTTAAAAATAAGAAAAATAAAGAAAGTAAAGAAAAAGTATGCTTGATCTGCATCCAGACTCCATCAGTTCTTTCTCTGGAGATGGGCAGCATTTTTCATCATAGGTCCTTCAGAATTGCATTGGATCATTGTATTGCTGAGAATAGCTAAGTCATTCACAGTTCAGCATCATACAATATTGCTATTACTGTATATAGTGTTCTGGTTCTGGTCATTTTACTTTGCATCAGTTCATGTAAGTCTAAGTTTTTCTGAAAGCATCCTGCTTGTCATTTCTTATAGCATCATAGTATTCCATCACAATCATATGTAACAACTTGTTCAGCCATTCCCCAATTGATGGCTATCCTCTCAATTTCCAATTCTTTGCCACCACATAAAGACCTGCTATAAATACTTTTGTATATGTAGGTCCTTTTCCTTCTTATTTTTTTATCTTTTTGGGATGTGGACCTAGTAGTGGTATTGCTGAATCAAAAGGTATGCACGGTTTTATAGCCCTTTGGGCATACTTCCAAATTGCTCTACAGAATGACTGAATTATTACACAACTTCACCAAGAGCGTATTAGTGTCCCATTTCCCCCACATCTCTTCCAACATTTGTCATTTTCCTTTTCTGTCATATTAGCCAATCTGATAGGTATGGGGTGGTAATTCAGAGTTGTTTTAATTTTCATTTCTCTGAACAATAGTGATTTAGAGCATTTTTTCATATGACCAGAGATAGCTTCGGTTATTTCATCTGAAAACTTCCTGTTCATATCCTTTTACCATGTATCAGTTGAGGAATGGCTTTTATTTCTACAAATTAAACAAATATATTTTTGAAAGGGCTCAGGGCTTCTAGGTAGAGCTCTGGTTAATGAGGACTTCCAGATTAATCTTGGACTGCACCAAAATACAGCTACTTCTGGCATGAGATGGGTATAGGAATGCAGAGAAGGTTGATAGAGAATAGATCAAAGGCACACAATATCTATGGGACTAGAGGCAAGCCACTTAACCTCATTAGGCCTTATTTTTCTTATCTGTAAAATGAGATCTGGACTATGTGAACCCTTGGGCCCCTTCCAGCTCTACCAGCCCAGTCTTCTAGGATCTTTTGTGAAGTGAGTCATTGCTGGCTCTGACATTTTGCTTGCTTTATCTCTTTCACCTGATATTTCTTCCTTCAGACTCTCCCTCTGCTCATCCATGTCTGATTTTCTTCCAGGCTCAGTTCAAATCCCATCTCCTCTTTGAAGCCCTCCATGACCTTATCCCATACTGATGCTACTTTATATACTTTTCCAATTCCTTGATTATAAGATCTTCAAGATCAAAGTCTAGATTTTCTACCTCTATTTCCCTCAAAAAATCCTGGCTAGATAGTGCCGGGCACAGAGTAGGTAAAACAGAAAACATTTCTTGATTTAGTATAGGTAGTCCAGTGCCTCCCTCAAAAGTGTTCTCCTGTATTCAGACTCTGAGATAACATTTCACCTGGAAGGCAGTTTAAAAAAAGGGATATTATTTCAGCATTTGGTTCAGTGCAAAGAGGGGCTTAGCCCTAAGAACAGAAGAGAATCCTGGGTGAGTTCCTGGCAGCTGAGCGTCTGAACAAATAGATCCCTTATTGTGGAATTTTTATCTGGATTCCTCTGGGATTTAGGAGAGTATGAATAAATTCTCATGGGCTTCTCCCTTTTCAAATTATAGCCAGAAGATCATAGATACAGAGCTGGAAAGGAACCCAGAGGCTGTCTAGTTCAATCCCCTTAGTTTACAAATGAAGAAACTGAGTCCCAGAAAGGTTAAGTGACATATACAAAATCACATAGGTAGTAAGCATCAAATATGAGATTTGAACTCAAGTCCAATGAATTCAGAATCTTGAGCTCTTTCCATTGTACCACACATATGCAATCTGGGTCTCAGAAAAGTTAAGCATTTGCCCATGGTGACAAAGCAAGTTTGGGGCATAGTGTGAACTAGATTCCAGGTCTCTTGTCTCCCAGGTCAGTGGCATATAGATAGACAGATAGATGGATAGATAGAGACCTATAGATAGATATCAACATATATCTATCTATAGATCTATAGCTATATATTTATATCTATATATCTACCTATACATATATCTATATCTATGGATCGCTCTCTCTCATACATACACACACACACACACACACACACACACACACACACACACACACACACTGTCTCATTATTTGAATCATCTTCATCCATTCAACTGGGGAAAATCCCTCCAGTGATAGGATTGTAGGATCACAGGTTTAGAACTAAAAGGGATTACAGAGGCCATTAAGTGCAACTGTCTCATTTTATAGGGAGGTGACACACCCAAATCACACAGGTAGCAAGTGTCTTAATTTGGACTTGAGCCCAGGTCTTCTGATTCCAGAACCAGTGTTCTTTCCTCTGTAAGCCCTAAAAGTTTCTTAGTGCTTGCTGTGGCAATGGCCTTAGCTTACCTGTGCCCTTTTTACACGTGAACGGCAGGTGATAGTTGCAAGGGACATCATTCCATTCACCCTTCTCATGCCAGATCATCACTACGCAGTCTTCCCCAGTGGCAAAGAAGTTGTCTGGTTGGTTGGGTCTCCAGTTCTCAAATTGCTGGGGACAGGATATGGGGCAGAAAGTGAGCAGAGGGCAAGAAGAAGGATGGACCATTTGCTTTTGTCTGTGCTCAGTCTTGACTTTCCTCCACCTTCCTTCTCCAAATGTTTTACATCTTGCTCCTTATATAGTGAAACTTATTTTGTCATTAGAGCAGAAGCTGCTTAGAACCTGGCAGCATTGTCCCTAGTACCCTGGAGAATGATCTTCTCTGATTATATAACCTTGGCCTTCCACCCTTAGGATCTTAAAACATTCAATAAAAATTCACAAAATCTGCCAAAAAGACATTTCATTTTCTCTCTTTTGGGGGAAACTAAGTGATCTGATTTTTCCAGTTTGGCCTGAAATGGTCTGAAAATTATGTTAGAAATGTGGGTTAGAACCCATGAGAAAGTCCAAAGAAGATTCTATGGGGTTTTCTTTTTAGTAGAGAACATTCTTCCTTCCCCTTTTCTGATACCTACCTGTCTTAGAAGTCTTAGCTCAAGTTCTACTACCTTTATGAAGCCTTCTATGATCATTCCAGCCAGCAGCTATTGACTCAAGACATATTATACTTCTTATTTCTGTCACTCACTTGGCATTTATATTGTTTCACAAACTACCTTTTCATGTTTTTCTGACTAGATGATAAGCATCTTGAGGGTAGGAACTCTGTATTAGGCTTCTATTTATCTCCTAAAATGCCCAAACACAGTGTAAGTGATCTTTAAATATGTGTTGCTTTCTTTCTTTTCCTATGATCCTTTCCCAAAGTTGAATCTCTATTCAAGCTTTTTAACTGATCAATCAATAAGCATTGATTAAGCATTTAGTATGTTCCAGGCACAAGCTTGGGATTCAAAGGAGCAGCAAAAAACAGTCCCTGCTCCCAAGGAGCTAAAATGGGGGAGACGATATTAAATGTGAATTCTTGTTATTATTACTCTGAGCCCTTCTCTTTTTAGCTTGAGTATCATAACTCACCAAGGGGTGTCCATCTGACCAACGGAAATCACCTTCGATAGTTCTGTCATTGAGTCCAATCCATTGGTAGTCTTGGGCATTGTCTGTGGAGAGAAGTGGAATCGGTGGGTATGACACACCGAGGAGGTTTGATTTAAAAAATAATAACCCAATCTGAGAAGATGGAGATGTGGGAAAAGTGTAATGGGGAGGCCAGGCATTTTACGCTTTCAGGTCCTTGTCAACCTGGTCCTGGGGGACTCATCCAAGAGTGTAAGCCTGAGTGCCTAGATCAGGGGTGGAGAACCTACAGCCTTGAGGCCACATGTGGCTTCTAGGTCCTTTGACTGAATCCAAACTTCACAGAACAAATCCTTAGATACTCAGGTGGTACTAAACAACTTTCTAAGGATGGTACAGGTTGGTAAAATACATGTGAGTGACCTATATTGTTTTTGGGATGGGTTAATATGATAGTAGGGTGTCCTAGAATGCGAGGTGGTCCAACTTAGAAGACTTGACTGAAACGATGTGGCACACCAACTTTAGATATTGGAGCTAGACTTTACCTTCACCCTAGAATAGGCCCATGACTCTTAGACTTAACAACTGTGCTTTTTACCCTTAACTACCCATGTTGGTGGTCCCCTTTACACTCACTGTTGACAAACTCCTGCTCTTCAGGTGTGACAATGCTGCTCAGATGAGACTGGTGCTGTCGGCATCGGCTCTCGGCATCTACCCAGGTTTCCCGGTCCGGGAAGTGCCGGTAACAGTGTCCCTGGAATTTGGTCCAGCCCTCTTCACAAATCTCCTGGTCTGAAATAAACATCAAGGGCAAGAAGGGACATCCCAAGGTTGAGCTCATATCCTGGTCTTGATTGGGCCACCTCAAGTACAGGCCTCCAAGTGAGAGGAGAGGCTTAGCCAAAGGATTCTGTGGCCTTAAGCAGGAAAGGACTGGGCCCTGCTCACAGAAGTCTTAGAGCTCTGGCTGTGAGATTTTAGAGACCCTGCATTACTGCCATTGGCCTAGAAATATCTATTTTGTTGGAGACAAGTTCTAGAGTACAGGTATCAAACACATGGCTGCAGTCCACTCCTGAGTGAAGCCTGAACTAGATTAAATTGTAACTGGGAAATATTTAACAAAATAAATTAAAATACAATAATACATAGGTAACATTACATTTTAAAACTAGGTCAATACATGGCCCAAAAGATCCTTATGTACTATTTGAATTTGACACCACTGTTCTAGAGGATGGACATTCTCTTCCCAACCTTATCTTTTTCTCAACAAAAACAGATTTTCATTTGAAAAGTGGAGAAGAGAGAAAGGCTAGAAGTCAGGTGGAGAGGATGAAGTATTTTAGAGAGGCTACAAGGTACCACAGTTCTGGATGGGCACATAAAGTTGGTAGGGGCAAAGGATTGAAGACAATAGAGGAATAAATAATATGGTACAGAGCTGGAACTAGCCAAATCGTGAGTGGTTTTATAAGCAAAAATGAAATAGCCTCATGGGAAGATAGGGTTCAGAGCTTTCAAAATGCTTGTTCCTTAATAGATTCAGCCTTTGGGTCTACCACCTGCATGTTATATGAGGGATACCCAAAACTGAGGACAGTTGGCCCTTGGGCCTTGTTCCCAGCATTAGGGGATAAGGAGAGAGGATTGAGTCATTGACCAATCCTAGGGTCAGACCCTGAGGCCATATGGAATACAAAGGAACAAAGGCTTATAGAAAATTATAGGATCTAGGGAAAGCTATAAATCATGCTGCTCCCTCATTTAACCAAGGGGATATATGCCAAGGAGATTTGATTGTTATAATTATTATTTGTATTTCCAATACCAATTTCTTATTTTAGCCCCAACACCCTCTCAATTGAAATGGTTGAGCCAAGGGAATGCTGGGTTTAGGGGTAATAGAATTTCTTCTTCTAGTGTGTGTACAAGTTTATTTCTTTGGATTTCCGCCTTTGTGGGCTAAGGCCTGCCTGTCCTGCCAAGGGAGCAGAGAACAGAAAAAAAAATGGTAGCTGGAGAACTAAAGGGAAGAAATGTGGAAATGGTGGAAATGGAGGCCATGGCAGATTCAAAGGCAAGAGGAGAGGTGTCTATGAGTGGTAGTAAGTCTAGAGAGGAAGTATGAAGGGGATTAATGAGAATAGTAAAATTTTAGAGCTGGAAAGAACCTTAGGCTCTTTATTTTACAGGGGAAAAACTGAGACTGAGATGAAGTGACTTGCCCAGAGTCATATAGTGTCAGAGCTGGGACTTCATACAATTCTCCTCACTCCTTTTTTGTCCAGTGGTCTTTCCATCACATTGTGCTGCTCTCTTCATTCCTGTCATTACTGCTGCCTCTTTCACCATGAGACAAAATGAGGTTCTGAGGATATCACCAGAGCAGAGACCAAGGTGATACCAATTCCACTCCCCCAAGATGTTTGGCTGGATCCTGGACAACTGACCATCTTGACCCATCCCTTCCCACCCAGCTCAGGAGGTGATGCTCAAACTAGCTAAGCAAAGCAAGAGGGAGCAATAGCTCATGGAAGGATGGAGAGAAGAATCTACGAAGGAGGACCTTCAAAAGGCTGAGAGACAGGGCAACCAGAAGAGGAAGCCAAAGTAAAACCTGAGAAGCAATGAGGTCTAAACTGAGATGGTTTGTTAATACAGTTGCTATTGAGGACAGCAGAGTCAAGATGAGGCAGAAATCTTAGAGGGATTTGCTCTATGATGCCATGACCAAGAAGATCAATTGAACTTTATCTGATTCCCCATCTGCTATTTTTGTTTGGGAACAGAGGTCTGTCATTGTCCTAGCCTCATTCTGAAAGATTTCACCTTCCTCCCACCTCTAAGGTCAAAAGTATTGTTTTTATGTGTATTCCAGAATGCACTCTCATCCATTTCGCCATTCTTCCTTAAGGGATGTTGTGAATACCCAAGCAACCTTGAGGAGAATGTCCTTGAAGCTCTTCTTTCCCTTCTCAAGTAAGATTCCATTCTTGGGGTCCTAGAGTTAGGGGAAGGTTGAGGCATTTTCTTCCAGAAGTATTACATTCCATCAAGAATTCTGTTGGAAGTGTCATGGGACATGGGTTGTAGTTAACACATGCCCCCATCCCCATTCCTTCCCCAATGCTATATTCACATAGTGGGACAAGGAATGCCTATCTTGGGACTTAAATGGGTCTCAGCTGACCTTTTGGAGTTTTCTGATGCTCTCTCTCAACAGCTGCTGGCACAGTTCAAAGAAAATGTCCTATGCAACTACATTCTTCCACCTCTCCATGGGACATTGCTAGTAGGTCTCAAGGATCTGCTCTTTCCAAGAAGAGATGCTTTCTGAGGTCCAGGAGGTCTATGATACTTCCAGTTAGAGAGAAGAGATTGAAAGGCACTGAAAATGAACCAGGTGGGTAGTCTCAGTCAGGAACCTGGGAAGGTCCATAAAGCCCAAGTGTTACTTAGCATTTAGTGCATTAGCACTGGTTTTGGCAAGCCCTAGGAGAGGAAACCTAGCCAGTGTCCATCTAAAACCAGGCTCTTTTCTGACCAGTCGGTCTGTCTCCTTCCATGAGCTTCCAAATCCACTTGTATTAGAGGAAAGATGGCAAAGGAGAAAGAAAGAGAGGCTGAACGAGTGGCAAAAGCTATGTCTGTTACTGTTGTCATCAGAAGTTACAGAGATGGAGGCATCATGCAGCTATCCCCATTCATGCATAGCCCTAACTCCCCATTCATGCTTGAGAAACCAGAGGGACTCCAAGATGGTAAATATGTTTGTTTGTTTGTTTGTTTTCTTGAGAGAAGAGAGAGGTAGCTCAGCCTTGGTGACATGGTGACTCCCAGGGCCAAGGAAGTTCCCATGGGAATGTCAAGAGGGATAAATATTATTATTTCCATCCAGGAAGATGCAGGGTCACCAGGGAGAAAGCCAAATCTTGCCACCCCAAAACTTCCTTCAAGACAAATGAATGAAATTTGCACCATCCCTTCAGCCTGATGCATTCCTGTCCTGGCGAATTTTAGGAGAGCAGAGTGGTTGGAAGTCCTGGGAAAGATTAGTGCTCCAAAGATCCCACATAGACACAGATTCCAAGATTGCAGGTTGGCCCATACATCCTCTTTTGCAGTCATATTTGCTAACATCCAAAAGGGGGATTTTCTAGTTGTGCAGCAAGGCATCTCAGTCACCTCCTCAAAAACAGTTGCTTGGCTGGTGTGATGGGTCACAGCCCCATCTACCTGAAAATAAAGACTTTCCTCAGTGGAGAGGCTGTTGCTTAGAGTAAGAAGGTAGATTGGAAATTCTCAAGGAGAAGAAAGGAAACATTTGGGGGAGGTGAGAAGAAAGGAAGGAAACAAGGAATATGGTGGTTAGTCACATTAGCTGAAGCTGGGGTGGCCGTACCGATCTTACACAGGTCCCCTCCGTAGCTGGGAAGGCATAAGCATGTGAAAGAGTCGATGCCATCCACGCAGGTACCTCCATTCAGACAGGGGTTTGAGTGGCATTCATCGATGTCTGTAAGAAATGAAGGGCTGCCATTAGGACTTCTGGCAGACAAATCCAATGTGATGATGGCCCGTTGCTCCGCTCATCCAGGGCAAGACCTGCTCTTTGTGGAGAGGACTGGGTAGGGATTGGTTTGGTACCCTAAGGACTGTTGTTGCTGCTGCTGCTGCTGCTGCTGCTGCTCCTACTGAAGCTTTAACTGCCATACCAAGAGATTGAGAATAGATGCTATCCTGATGGCAGGAGGAGAAGGAAGTTGTAGGGAATGTCATGTTTCATAGTTCGTCCCAGGTCATATTGACATACATCCAATGATTTGCATGGGGTTAGTGGTAAAGTTCCTCCAAGATGTTGCATCTTCCTAACGTTCCAATAGGCAATTGTTCTGACTTCCAGAAAGGGTTCACCAAGAGTCCAGACTACTGCAGAACACACTCAGGAAAGGCTCTTGAAAACCACTTGTCATATTCCATTTCCCACTAGACCATAAAGGTCTTTGGTCTTTCTGTAGGCTACTCATCCTGGAGTTCTGGACCAGTTTTTAATTATAAATAAGTGAAGGAGGGCAAAGTTGTAGAGCAGGGACAGTGAAAAAAAAGTTTGCAAAGATGATACCTGTCTTTTTAAGAACTGATTAATGGTCTACTCATTGAATGTTGGACATATTGGTGGATGCCATTCACGTAAAAGAAAAGACATCCTTCTGTTGCAATTATCTTCTCCTCTTTAGTGGTCTCTTACTGAAGCTACTTTGTTAGGGACTTTGGTGGAAGGACAGTAGGGGAAAAATTATTTGACTTCCTAGTAATCTTCCAAGGTTGGTTTCTTCAGGCTCAATATTCCAGAAGGTGATTTCTCAAGTGAGACGCAACTTTAATCATAGCCTGGAGAACTAGAAGCTTTGTCCTTACTAGTTGCTTGTCAGCTCATATGGAATGCCTCAGGATCTAATTTTATTAAGTCTTGTTATTATTCAATTGTTTTCAGTTGTGTCCAACTCTTCATGACTCCATTTGGGTTTTTCTTGGCAAACATACTAGAGTGGTTTGCCATTTTTTTCTCTATCTCATTTTACAGATGAGGAAACTGAGGCAAACAGAGGTTAAGTGACATGCCCAGGGCCACACAAAAGTGTCTGAGAATGAATTTGAACTCAGGTGTTCCTGAATCCGGGACCAGTGCTCTCCACTGTGCCACCTACCTGCCAGTTTTATTTAGTAAGTATGGTAACTGATGAGTTCTGGGATATTATATTCCAAGTTCCCTTCTCTTTCTTCTGCATCCAATAGACTCTTCTGCTCTTCTGTTCTTCTGATATCTAGATGATGCCACCAACAAATTTTTTCTCATTTTTTTCAGGCAGGTGGGTTAATATGATTAATTTTCCAAGTGGCTTTTGCTAAATTAAACTGTCACGGCCAAAGGTCTACATAAGTACTGAATAACCCTGAGTCATCCTCTTCCACCTTGACACCCCACAATAACTCAAAAATTCTTTCCTCCGTCACCTGAATTTGACCTCAAAAACTGAAGATACCCAAAGAATTCAGTTTGGTCCAGGGACATTATGACTGATGAGTATCTATCTATCTTTTCCCTACCAGGCTGGAGAGGAAAAGGATATGCTTCATCATTTCCCTTTCGTCATGGTGTCGTGGAATGATTGTCACAAGCTGTCACATTTCTTCTTAGGGTATCACTGGAGTGCATGGTTATTTCTGGTTTGAGGGAGCCACACATGTGCCTGGACTCATGACACCACACAAGGACCATGACTTCTAAATAAGAGACCTGGGGGAAAGTTCCAGAATGACAAGGTGCTGCTCTCACCGTCTGGCTCTTTTATCCATCATTTGACTGCAGCATTACTGTTGGAATAGGATCCAGGTGTTGGGTCTCCACTGGTACTAATGTACAGAGGGAAATGTGTTAGACTTTTCCTTGAGTAATTTAGGGAGGTCAAAGCCAGATGAAAATCTTATTTGGAAAGGCCAAGAATCTCAAGTCTCTGGTGAGACAATCAAAGAACTTTCCTTTTGCTCCTGACATTAGCTTTGGGTCTACAGGAGGCATCTTCTTGGGCTAGAAGGTAAGCTCACTTAGATTGCAGGTTGAACATCTCCAGCCTTTCTTATCCTTAAATTCTCTTATACTTTATCATCAAGGAAATTAGAGAATAGGTCAGAAACTAATAGACTCAAGTTAAGTCTGCTGAAATTCATCCAGTTGAAGATTCAAACTCCGTCCAACCAAAAAGATAACAAAACCAAAGAGGAAAAAAAAGGCAAATCCTAAAATGCATGGAGGGCCTTATGATATCCCAACATACACTAGGATTCCCAGCAGCAGCAGTAGCAACAGTAGGTCACGCCAGTCTGCAAGGTGGAAGGTGAAGGTGGGCAGGGCTCTCACCTGAATAGGAAAGCAAAAATTCTTTGTCCATTAGCTTCTGTTATGTGTCAGGGTAAAGCACCCTGTTGGCAATGGCAATAAAGCAAAAACAGGAGCTAAAGCAGGGTATTCAGCAGGGAATAAGGTTGATCTCTGGATTGATTGATTAGAGAAGTTGGTGCCATGGTCAGATACTTCTAACCAACCTAAGGTCAAGGAGGAGGGAGGGAGACACAAAGGGAGGTCATACACGATAGCTCCCTAGGTGTTCACAAAGGGTGGGCTATACAAAGGAAATACTTAGCTCATCACTTCCATCCCAAAGTCATCAATCCCTGGGACCATTCTCCAAATTTGATCTAAGTGGATTGGGCATTGCATGTGATCCAGTGCAGATGCTTGGACTGATGGAAACTACAATGAACAAAATCACATGCTGAATTCTCAGAAGCTAGATGTTCCATGGTCATCCTAGAAGTAGGAAGATAAGGGGAAGGGGACTCTTTATCAGGTCATATATTCTTGGTTTATGCTGCAGTCAGCTGCAGTCATTCTCTTCTCTGGACTGGGTGTGGGGGGGAAGGTAGCTCAGATTCCCAAAGGTTGTCAGCTCTTCCTCTGGTCTGGAGTAAGTGAGATCTTAAGCTCCCTTTTTCTCTTCACGATCTACTTCCTCTCTGATAAATAGGCTCAGAAGGTCTGGGATCCTTCTTAGTTTCTGAAACTGTGAGGAATTTAGCTCCACCAAAATCTGAGAGATGAAAAATTCCAAGCAAGACAAGACTCAGGATGGAGATTTGGCCATTCTATGTCTCAACTTTGGGAGATGGGGAGAGTCCTATGGAGGAGGGGGATGCAAAACAACTATTGTGGAAAAGAAATGTTATAAAGGTACAAAAGCGAAGTGGTTGAGGTTCAAGAAATGGCATTAGAGGTTGGGTCTCTGTTGCACGTGGAGGAGGAAGATCTCAGGGCTCATTGTATTGAACTCAAAGTCTGGTATTTCATGATTTTATGTCTGATGTACACAGTGGGAGTGTAACAAACATCTTGTGAATATTGATTAGGCAATCCAGAAGGGGTCAAAATGCTTAGGGTTCTTTTCCTGTCTCTTCTCAGTGGAGTGGTTTTAATTAATGACAAATAACTCTTCATCCAAAGTACCTAAAGCTAAGATCTCATTCATTTTCACAGAAGCTGTCTAGCAAAAGGGAAAATTCATCTTGCAATCCTATGTTAAGGTCAGGGAAATAGAGGCAGAGATGGAAGGGGATTTGGAATGGTGTTTTCATCATGACATCATTGAAACTGTCATTTCTCCGAATGCCCAGACCAGTGTTCTTGCCCTGTGGTCTGTCCATGTCAAGAATACAGGTTGAAAAATTATTCTGAGCTCAGAAAGAGGTGGTATTTGACCTATAAGAAGGGCTGAAGGAAGTTCTGTAGGAGGTGTTTTTTACCTATCATATTCTAGATAAATGATGCCAGGGGTAATTCTCCAAACTGAGCACAGCAAGATTAATTATTTGGCTTCATAGATAAGTTTTGAAGAATATTGTACCCATGCTATGTATATCTGATCAGGGCTATTAAGAATAGGAGCAACTTGACATGAGAATGACTGAAAATACAAAGTTCTTTATAATTTACAAAGCCTCATTTAAAGCCTTATCATTATCTATAATAATAGCTAAAATTTGTATAGTGTTTACTATATGCCAGGCACTGTGCCAAGTGCTTAACAATTATCATCTCATTTTGTCCTCACAATAGCTCTGGGAAGTAGGTGCAATTATTATTCCCATTTTACAGATGAGGAAACTGAGGCAAAAAGCGGTTAAGTGGCTTGCCAAGGTCACACAGCTAGTAAGTGTCTGAGGTCACATTTGAACTCAGGTCTTGCTGACTGCAGGCCCAGTGCTCGATCCACTGCACCACCGGACTGCTCATTTAAAGCTTCACAATATTCCTATGAGATGGATTCTAGAGATATTACCATGGATGAGGAAACTGAGGCTCCCAGAATGTGAGTGACTAACCCAGTATCACTTAGTGGTGAGTATAGGTGGAGGCGGTTCAAACCCAGGTTTTTCTGAGTTCTAGTCCAGCACTCTATTCAGTACAGACAGGCCTCTTGCCTCTAATTAAACAATGATGTAAAAAAATACACTTATCTTAGTAAGGCCTAATTATTGCACAATTGTGAAAACATATTGATCATCTACAATTCAGCCCAACTGGAAGTTTAAAATACGTGTTTCTTTTCTGCAAAACCAATGCAAATGGTAATGCAGTATTTTAATATGCCAGGGAGAATATTTCCCCTCCCAGGGAGAAAAGTTTCTTTGAAATATAAGCTTTCCCCGGGGAAAGTTTAAATGCCAGATCTCAAGCTCAGAGCATGAGAGCTAGAAAGTGAGATCTGGCAGTTAACAGAAAAAGAAACTGATTAAGTTTTATGTTCATGGCCCTCTTAACTACCCAGTTAAGTGGAGCCCAAACAGCTCCATTGGTGAGCAGAAAATTAGATACGAAATCTGGTTTCAGTTTTAATGCCCCCAGGTGCTAGTTAGCAATGGAGGGGAAGATTCTGAAATGGATTAGATTAGTGCATACAGTTCTGCCTTTAATCACTTAGGGATCAGAGAATTCATTAAATGGATGTTTATTGCAGTGTCAAAAATGCTGATTAATAATTTATCAAGGACTTGTTTAGGGAATACTTGCTAAACAAGATGAAGATAATTGTCAAGTCCTTTCTCTTAGGACTAATTACAACCTCAGACCCCCAGAACTATGTGAGATGTTTCTTTAGTTATTCAAATATTGCAGTAAGATGAATACTATGTCTTTGAAAACAGCCTGGATCTTTGGCCCTATTTTGAATGATGAATAGAAATCCAAGTTAAAAGTTCCTTCTTCTGTTCAGGACCTGCCTTTGCAAAGGCAATGACAAGTGAGTAAATGATGAATCATCTTAAGGACAGGAAAGTTACTTAGAGCCCTTCCTTCACTCCTTCCTGCTTTTCTTTTCTGCCTTCCTATCTATCCTCCATCCAGCACTTAGTAAGCACCTCCAAGTGTGATGCAGTGTGCTAGCTTTAATGGTACAGAAGCCCTATGGCTCCCCTAGAGCAGAACTAAACTTTTTTTGTTGTCGTTGTTCAGTCATTTCAGTCGTGTCTGATTCTTCATGATCCCATTTTTGTTTTATGGCAAAGGTACTGGAGTGATTTGCCATGTCCTTCTCCAATTCATTTTATAGATGAGGAACTGAGGCAAACAGGGTTAAATGACTTGCTCAGGGTCACACAGCTAGTAAGTGTCTGAGGCCAGATTTGAACTTAGGTCTTCCTGACTCCAGGCCTAGTGCTCTATCCACTGTACCACCTAGTGACCCAAGAATTGAACTAGTGACTGAATTTTTAGCTCACAGAGAAAACACTGACTTAGTGCAAGCCCCTTTGGTGTTATGTTAGGCTAGCCCAAAATAGGGGAGGCTTTACCATTTTACCTCTAAGAAAACCCCAAGCTTCACAAATCTGGTGCCAGGCTGACAGCTCTTTCAGACCAGAAGCTGTTTTTCAGTACTCATCTGGGAGCTCCCATTAGCACCTTGGGCTAAGTGGATTAAGACATACATTCTGGTTCTGACTCCATCACTCACTTACTCATTGTGTGATGCTGGGTAAATTACTGAGCCCCTCTCTTCTGCTCAACTCAGCTACAGAGTAACTCTAGATAACATCTACCTCATGGGGATGTTTGAGGAATAAGTCAGAAAGCCCTGTGGAAACATAAAATGCTTAGCCAGTGCTGAATAAGAAGAGCCTATGGTAAATTAGGTAAGGTCCACTTAACACCAATCTTCCCCTTTCAGGCTGGCTTGCTGCTCAAGGACATCAGTCCTGCTGAAGCAGCCAGAGAGAGATGTCTGTGACTTCTTTTTTCTATTAGTATTTTAGTATTAAGTATCAGACTGGAGACAGAGTTATTGAGTATCAGAAGGTGCTGAAAGGACAGAGCCTGTTGTTCTGATCCAGAAAGTCAGTTCTGGTTTTCATAAGATTGATTTTGTTCTCTTAAGCCTAAGGAACTTCCGAGTAACCCAGGGTGAACAGGAGGGGAAATTAGGCTGTGTCATGTCATCTCTTTAGTACAGCAAAACATTAACCTCTGAGTTAACTTTCTTGGTTTTTCTCTGTCCTACCACTCAATGGTGAGTTTTATGGAAGGGACTCTGGAAAAATGCCCTGAAAAATTCTTCAGGATTGAGATGTTTGAAAACAGAACTCATCCTTATTCAGGGCTGGCTCTCTTATCCTCAGTCCAGCCATCAGCAGCTTTCAATCCTAGCCCCAGAATGCTGGAAAACACAGAGATCTGCTCTCTGAACTCCCAGAAAATACATTTCATGGCTTCTTCCCTCCAAATGGGAGGCAGCTGTGGAGATTTCAAGGCGTATGCCAAGGAGGAGTCAATCCCATCCCTGGGGTCACCAGTCCCCCACAGAAATGCTGACACTTTTGTAGTAAGGAAATTAATTTTGTTTGTAAAAGTCATCATTTGTTGCTCAAAAAATTAATCACATTGCAGTTGGTCTGAAAATCATCCTGGGAATAAACTCTTCCCACCCCCATACAAATGATTCTTCTGGAATGGGGAAAGGGTTTAGGGATGTACAGTATCATGTTATCACCACAGTTAGGAAAAGAACTATTTTTACTATATGCACTATATATTCCAACTTCTGTTTATATATACATATATATTTCCTGTATATATGCTATATACAGTGTATTTATTATATAGTATATACCTATATAATATGTAATAAAGATGTTAGTTTGAATATATACATATATATAAAAGCACAATATACCTTATTGCATATGTCTATGATATTGGAGGGCAAATATACATATTATACATTGTGTGCTTAGTTTTCTTTTGATTTTTCCTTCCATAACTCTGCATTCCTTCTACTAATTGAATGAGGCAAAACAGATGAGAGCTCTGCTACAGAGGCAGAGACCCCAGCTTTTCTGAGATTGACTTACCCAGATAGACTCGGGACATCTGTAAACCATCAGTAACAATGGATTCATAAGATCATAGATTTGTACCTGGAAGGGTCCTTAGAGGTCAGCTGGTTTCACCCCCTCTCTCAGCAGCTGAGCAAACTAGGGCTGAGAAGTGAATTGGCTTGCCTATGGTTACACGGTAAATAGAATAGACAGCATTTGACCTCAGGTCTTCTGACTCCAGGTCCAGCATTTTTTTCCCAGTACCCCATGCTGTATCCATGATGATGAATTTTGAACTTTGCAGGGAGGGTCATGGAGCATCTCTTCTTTCTTTAGATCATGTATACCTAAATAATGCTATTGCTTAGAAGCATTCATAGATGTTGCTTAAAAGGAAGGTGCGTTGGTTTAAAAACAATGACAACAACACTGTATACAACAGTGGGATAGAAACAGGGCTGTTTAGGAGTTGTTACTTGGATGTGATGCTAGAGAATCAGAGGTTGGACTCTGATCAACTCATTTTTTTTTCTTACTATCCCAAGTTGGAGGAGCTATCCTGGCCACTTCCTGGCCCCCTTTCCACCTCTTGCCTCCCAGGAAAAGCAGCCCAGCTGCTCTGCTTGTAGTTTGAGGAAAATTCATTCAATATAGTAGTAAATGTTTAGCACACATGTAATATTAGATTATGGGCCTTCCCTTCTCAGGTGTTCACTGTGTTGGGCAAAGGGGTGTAGGAAACCAACTATCTTTCTCATTTCTACTTGGGTTCATAGGGATACTGGACTCTACAGAACCTATATCCATGAGTATATCCCAGTTCTTCCAGCTGCTAGCACTATATACTTATCATCCATCTTCTCAGTATGTATCTTGTATGTTTCCATTTATACATGTTTTCTCATTCATAAGAATGTATGCTCCTTGAGTGCAACAACTGTGTTTGGTTTTTCCTACAATAAAAAAAGGTCCCCAGCACCTGGCATAGTTTCTGATAAGAACTTAATAAATGCTTGCTGATTGATTTACTACTCGACTTTAACCTACTTTTCCAACCCTATTCTATATGACTCCCCTTTGTGTACTATGGTCCAGATTGGCCTTATTTTTCCTCCACATGACAGTCTATCTCCCATGGCCATCCTTTTGCACAGGCGGGCCCTTCATACCTCAAATGTACTCCTTCTCCACCTTCGTCTTTTAGAATCCTTAGCTCTCTTTAAACTCATCCCAAGTGCCATGAGATCTTCCCTGACCATTACTGCCTCTAATCCTCCAATTACCTTGTATTGATTTTGTACCAACTAATATGTGTTCATATCATGTCTCCTGATAAAATGTAAACTCTTTAAGGTCAGGAATGGTTTCATTTTATCTCCAACATCTAGCATCGTGCTTGACATGTGGTAAACACTTAAAAATACTTGCTGGTTGATTGATTGAATACCATATGTGCCATACCAGTTTAACCAACCCTTGCATTGATACAGTAGATAGAATTCATACCCCAAATCTAACCCTGAAATTGGGATTGAGAGGTGTTCCTGGGAATTTTCTCTATTTCTGCTTATTTTCCAATTACTCCAGAAGAAGACTTGGAAACTTAATATCTGCTTTGGCTCCTGCTGTTGGATCTGCTGAAGAGAACCATGGGAGCATCAGCACTGGATAATGGATTTATATTTATGTTCACTGCCTCAATTTGTTTATGCTATACACTGGATTTCTCTTATTATGTCCAGGTAAACCAAACTAGGGCTAAATGGTGAATGCAGACTCCTCTTCTGAAGCTGGAGGAGTCTACCAGCCCTCCCCCATTTAGGCTAAAGAAGGAGCTTACCTATGTCACAGCGATTGCCCATATACCCAGGGGGGCATAGACAGATGACACTTCCCTCCCTCTCCTGGCAGGTCCCAGCTCCACATGGCTCTTCAGCACATGACCTAGGGGTGGCTGTAACCAGCAGGGGAAGAGCAGATCAACCAGATTATCTTGCCTCTTTGGGCAGCCACTCGGGCAGCCTGATTGACCTCTCAGATAAGGGAGCTGCGGTCTCTGGAGTTCTCAGTACACTTGTTTTGGGTCAATATGTTTCTGCCCAGCTTTGCTTTGTTAGATGTTGAATCCCACTGATTTTGTGTGGGCTCTGTGGGACTTTGAAAAAGACACTTGAGAAACAAAGGAGAGGTAGAAAGAGCCCAGAAGAAGTAAAGAAGGCAAACTGATTAGAAACCACTTTTTTTATACCTACTGGAGGGGTCTACTACATCATTTCTAATGATCTCATTTTCTTTCTGTGTTTTGAATACAGATAATCCAAGTCTATCTCTTTATTATGAACAGCTTCCCCTCCCCCCTTTCACACATTCACTATATTTGAAGTCAGAAAAAATAACCATACCTTCAGTTGTGGATTCTGATTGTTCTCTCTTGTCTGAGGAAGCTTGAGATGCAGTGGAAGTGTCTGTAGGGGAAGGGACTGTTCCAGCTCTTTCAGTCTCTTCCCCTGATACTATGGGACTAGAAGACTCAATTTCTGTTTGAGCCTCTTCAGGGCTCTGGGTTTGATGCCTGAATTCAGTCTCTGAAGCACTGGTGCTGATGACTCTGTCTGGCAAAGAGGTTTCACCTGAAACATCTGGCAGAGGCAGAGTTGGGAGTCCAAAAGCTTCCCCACTGGCTTCGGTCCTGTCTTCAAGACTCACAGGGAATTCACCACTAGCCAGAGGCACAGATGATGTTTCTAAGTCCACATCTTGGGTGCTGGATGTCTCTCCACTAATATCATGTGTGGCAGATGTTTCCTCAGAGATCCCATGAAAGGCTGATGAGTCTCCACTCAGGTCAGGTGTGGAGGATGGTTCACTGGTCACTTCCTGGAAAGTAGATGTTTCTCCACTTCCATTCGATGATGAAGACATGCCATGGTCAGTTTCATAAAATGCGGATGTTGTGCCACTTACGTCAGGAACTGCAGATGCCTCAGGATATGCTGATAACTCACCACTCACCTCGGGAACTGCTGATGCCCCTACCTCAGTTTCATGGGTTGTTGACATTCCACTGAACTCACCAGCAACAGAGGATTCCCCACTGGACTCAACAAAATAAGGGAGTGTCACGGTAGATCCTTCACCAAGTTCCTGCGAAACCGTTGGTTTAGTAACTGCTTCCACGAAATCTGTGGTAATCAAAGTGACTTCTGGAAATCCCAAGGCCTCTCCACTGCTGCTGGTGACTGCTGATGATTCTCCACTTACATCAGTGACCCCTGAAAAGTCACCACTGAAAGATGGTATGCTTGATGACTCTCCACTGGTCTCTATCAACCCTGGCTGTGACCCACTGAGATCCACACTTCCAGATATTTCCCCAGAGGCTTCTGTTTCTCCCGAAGGAGTTCCACCAATTTCTAAAACCCCAGAAGGTCCTTCTGCTGCCTCTTCTGCTGTTGGAGTTGGGGTTGCAGATTCAACCAAAGTTCTATCCATGAGAGATACTGTGGGAAAACCAGATGAAAGTCCACTGCTGTCATATTCTCCAGATGGCAGGCCACTTCCAATCCCTGCTCCTGAAGGTTCTCCACTGAACTCCACCGATCCACTTGGCAGGCCACTAAATTCTGGGGCACCTGAAGCAAGGCCACTGGATTCTACGATTCCAGAAGATTGTCCACTGAAGTCTACAATTCCAGAGAAGTTACCTGATAGATCTGCCTCCCCAGAAGGAAAGCCGCTTATTTCCACAGAGCCTAAACCTTCTTCTTTTTCCCTGAATGTAGTTGGGGTGACTTCAACAAAACCAGTATCAACAAATGTAACACTGGTAGATTCACCACTGCCACTTACAGTCCCAGAAATCAAACCACTAAGATCACCCACCCCACTCAGATCAGAGATTCCAGATGTGTCACCACTGAACCCAGGAACTCCAGATGGTTGCCCACTGATATCAAATACTCCAGATGTTGCTCCACTGAGATCAGTTTCTCCAAATGGTTGCCCACTGCCAAATAATACTCCAGATGTCTCCCCACTGATATCTGTTATACCAGAAGGCTCTCCACTGGGCTCAAATACTCCAGATATTTCTCCACTGACATCGGGTAATCCAGAGGGTTGACCACTGAGAGGGGGTACTTCAGATGGCTTCTGAGTTAAGTCAAAAATCCCTGATGTCTCTCCACTGGCATCAGGGAAGCCAGATGCCTGTCCACTGATCCCAAATATTCCAGATGTTTCTCCACTGGCCTCAGGAGTTCCAGATGCATGCCCACTGACCTCAAATAGTCCTGATGTTTCTCCACTGGCTTCGGGAATTCCAGATGCCTGCCCACTTATTCCAAATATTCCAGATGTTTCCCCACTGGTATCAGGCAATCCTGATGCTTGTCCACTGAGCTCAGTTCCTGAAGGTAGTCCACTAGCTCCTCCGCTAATGTCCCACTCTCCAGATGGCAGCCCAGATATTTCTCCTTGACCGCTAATTCCAATGGTTCCTTTCCCTTCCAATTGACTGGCAGTGGTTGCTGTGACCACTTCCACCAAAGTAGTATCAACAAGAGAGACAGTTGGGAACCCGGATGGAAATCCACTTAAATCAGGCAGTCCAGATGAGAGGCCACTTCCAAAGTCCACCCCAGAGTGCTCACCACTAAATCCAGATGGCAAGCCACTTGTTTCTGGAGTTTGACCACTCCCTAGAGTTCCAGAAGGCAGTCCCCCTAGGTCCAAATGTTCAGAAGCAGACCCAACTAAGTCATCTCCTGAAGGCAGTCCACTTACTTCAGTAGGGATAGACCAGCCACTTATATCTGTTTCCCCTGAAGCTGATCCACTCTCCTCAGGTAACCCAGAGCCCTCTCCAGATGAAAGGCCACTGAAATCCAGGCCACCAGAAGGCAATCCACTTACACTACCCTCAGAGGGCTGCCCACTTGTTTCAAACTCTCCTGAAGCTTCTCCACTAGCAATGAAGTCTCCACTCTCATCTGTAATACCAGATGGTTCTCCAGAAGCTGATGATTCCCCAGTGCCACTCACATCTGGAATACCAGATGGCTCTCCAAAGACTGATGGTTCCCCGGTGCCACTCACATCTGGAACTCCAACACTTGGGACACCAGATGGCTCCCCAGAGGCTGACAGCTCCCCACTTCCACTCACATCTGGAATTCCAACACCTGTAACAGTGACTGGTTCTCCAGAAGCCGATGGTTCCCCACTGCCACTCACATCCAGAGTGCCAACAGCTGGAACACCAGATGGCTCGCCAGTGCCACTCACATCTGGAACTCCTACATCTGGAACACCAGATGGCTCTCCAGAGGCTGATGGTTCCTCAGTGCCTCTCACATCTGGAACACCAGATGGCTCTCCAGAAGCTGATGGTTCCCCACTGGCACTCACATCTGGAATACCAGATGGCTCTCCAAACACTGATGGTTCGGCGGTGCCACTCACATCTGGAACTCCTGCATCTGGAACACCAGATGGCTCTCCAGATGCTGATGGTTCCTCAGTGCCTCTCACATCTGGAACACCAGATGGCTCTCCAAACACTGATGGTTCACCAGTGCCACTCACATCTGGAACTCCTACATCTGGAACACCAGATGGCTCTCCAGAGGCTGATGGTTCCCCGCTGGCACTCACATCTGGAATACCAGATGGCTCTCCAAACACTGATGGTTCGCCGGTGCCACTCACATCTGGAACTCCTACATCTGGAACACCAGATGGCTCTCCAGAGGCTGATGGTTCCCCGCTGGCGCTCATATCTGGAATACCAGATGGCTCTCCAAACACTGATGGTTCGCCAGTGCTGCTCACATCTGGAACTCCTACATCTGGAACACCAGATGGCTCTCCAGAGGCTGATGGTTCCCCACTGGCGCTCACATCTGGAATACCAGATGGCTCTCCAAACACGGATGGTTCGCCAGTGCCACTCACATCTGGAACTCCTACATCTGGAACACCAGATGGCTCTCCAAAGACTGATGGTTCCCCCGTGCCACTCACATCTGGAACTCCTACATCTGGAACACCAGATGGCTCTCCAGAGGCTGATGGTTCCCCACTGGCGCTCACATCTGGAACACCAGATGGCTCTCCAGAGGCTGATGGTTCCCCAATGCCACTCACATCTGGAATGCCAGATGGCTCTCCAAAGACTGATGGTTCCCCGGTGCCACTCACATCTGGAACACCAGATGGCTCTCCAGAGGCTGATGGCTCCCCAATGCCACTCACATCTGGAAGTCCCACAACTGGAATACCAGATGCTTCACCAGAGGCTGAAGTTACTCCACTGAAAGAAGGCTCTCCAGTACTTTCTTCTGGAACAGCACTAGTGAGAGGCCAAGATGAAGGACTTGCTGAAGGAGAAAAGGAAAAAAAAAAGACAAGATTTTATTGACAAGCACTGATAGGACCCAATGGCCCTTCACATCTAGAAGCCTGGGCCCATTGTCACCATTTTCTTTGCATTACTCGCTGTATACTGATGTTGGGATTCTTAAACTGGGGTCTATGGACACCTAAACAATTCAGAGGGTCTGTGAACTCTTATAAAAAAGGAAAATATTTTGATAACTGTATTTCAATACAATTAGCATCCTTCCTATGTATTTTACTTTATATATGTTTAAAACATTGTTCTGAGAAGGGGTCCACATACTTCAACAGACAGCTAAAGGTGTCTGTGATAGGAAAAAGGTTAAGTATTCTTGAACTAAAGACTTACAACATCCCTGGGAGGAGTAAAGGTGACCTACCACTGACGCTAACTCACTCTGTGTCCTTGTGCAAGCCACTCAATCTCTGAGAGCCTTAGTTTTTTCAAAATGGTGGTGGTGGTGGTAAGGACACTAGAAGTGATCTGTAAGGCCCTTTGTACTTCTCATATTTTATGACTTTGACTAGCAACACTATTACTATAAACTTATGCTATTAATACCATATTCAAAAGTATTTTCACAGGTATGTTCTTTCTTCTCACCTTAGGAGTAGGTATTATTTTATGGGTAGGGAGACTGAGGCAAAGACATTTAAATGAACTGATTCAGACTCATAAACTTAATCATTCCACAGATCCTTCTAGTCATTTTCCATTAGTAGCTTCAAATGCAGTCTAGATCCACCTGTATTTTCACTTCCAGCAGTGACTCTGTTTTTACTGAGCCCCTATGGGAATATGGGGCTCTTCCTGTCTCTCTTATCTTTCTGTCTGTATGTCTGTCAATCTGTCTCTTTGTGATGACTCCTGTACACAATATTTAGAGAGTGCCAGTGCCTGGCACATAGTAGGCACTTAATAAATGTCAACTGGATTAGATATAGTGCTACAATATATATTTAATTCACCCAACAGTTATTCAGTAGCTACTGTGTATAAGTTATCGTCCTAATACTGGGAATACAAAGAGAGATGCCACAGGATACCTGTTCTCAAAGAGCCTTTGATGATGCCTTTATGTAATTTGTCCCGTGATGAACTAATTATGGCAGATATGGGACAGAACCATTTCCTGGAATCGGTAAGCAATTAAGGGACCCCAGATGGTCCTTTGCTCAAAAATCTCTCTCTCTCTCTCTCTCATATTCTAGTAATTGAAGATTCCTGTGGCAATAACTCTTTGGGGATACAAGTAGTCTTGAGACTGGTTAAATCTCTTGATCATTCACACTGCAGGATCAAATGTTTTCATCAGAACAACTATTGGCTAAAATTGTCCTTGATGAATGGAAATTTTTACTAGGGAGGAAGGTGGGGAGGAAGAGAAAGAAAAGGAAAATTGTGGAATTTTGGGACCCTAAAGACTTTCAATAATCTGGTACTAACTTCTCACTTTCAAGTCAAGAGTAGCATAGGTCAGACTCTATCCATATAACCCTCTTCCCCTTGGTCCTGCCCAAGTACTCCCTCTCTATCTCTATACTCCCTTCTTTGAGGGACTATGGGATATAGAAGGCTATGGAGTCAGGGTGATCTTGTATATTTGTAGCTAATGAAAAGCAGATACCATTTCTGCTTTCTTTTCTATCTCAGCCTCACTGAATTGTTATACATATAGTATAATTGATTGGGGAATTAATTAAAGGTGGTGTGGATGCTGAACATTCTCTTTGAGTTCAGAACCTTAGAGATATGCTGATCTAGAACTGTACAGAGAATCGATAACTGATATGAGAAAGAGTACAGGTCTCTGGGATTCTCATGGAGATAAAGTATTCCAGACCTGAGTAGAGAAGGCATTGCTAGCATTGCAGTACAGTGGATTGAGACCTGGACTTAAAATCAGGAAGACCTGCCTTCAAAACCCACTTCAGACTGTTATTAGCTATGTGACCCTGGACAAGTCACTTACATTGTTCGTTTCAGTTTCATGAGGGAGTTGGACTAGATGGGCTTTAAGGTCCCTTCTAGCTCTAAATCTGTGATCCATTGGCTTAAATCAAAATGTTTCCTAGGAGGCATGGGTTCATGCTAACCTGAGAGTAATGAAGCATTTGTTGGAAAAAATTCTGTTTCCCACTCTGTCTGATTCTCAGGTACAGTAGTAATATCAAATTCTCCTCTGGATAGGACCTCCCCCTCCTTTGGAGCCACCTGAGTTGGAATCAGCTCTTCATCAATAATGGAGACCTGTGTGCCACCTTCTCCTTCCTTCAGAGAGGGCCCAGCTGAAACATTCAAGAGCAGATAGTGAGTAACTTGACTTTACAAGCAGGAAACTCCTACCTTGGATTACTCAGGGACCTGTCCCAGGAGACCCATTTAGGACATAGTTCTTGGTCCCTGAAGAAACAGGGACAGACAAGGGGGAGATTCCTCTGTAAATATGCACATTCTAAGCCACTCAGGCAACATTTCACCTGAGCTTTGATGGAAAAGCAGGAAGAGCTGAGATAATAAGCTCTCTGCCTTTGCCCCATGTCTGTCTGTCTGTCTCTTTCTTTGTGATGACTCTTCTGCCTCACTTTTGGATTGTAGGAACATCTAACAGGTACATGGCATGGAGGGTCTATAGCAGCATAGGGGTTGAGGGAGGTGACTATAAATATAAGTAATTCTTTAACATAAAAGGACCTTTCCTGCTGCATTAGGGAAAATTGGGTGGCATGAAAAGGATGGCACAGTACCTTGGAAACAGAAAGCATGGTGCCGGGATAGGGGATGAGGAAAGCCAGTCTGGTTGGAGTACAGGTAGACAGTTCTAACACCTGGTTTATCCCCACCACATGCAGAGCGGGGAGTGATGATAGGATAGCGGACGCTGCCGTCTGCCAGCCAGCCAGCATGGCATTTGTCCAGGCCCCGGCGCCAGGCGGCATAAAGCTGCCCTGTAGAAGCCAGGGTGGCATTGTGTTCTTTGCAGTATTCTTGGGCTTCTTGGAAGGTGAACAGCTCCGGTCGAGTGGCAAAAAACACCTCACCTATTAGGAATATACAATTAGATTCGCTTGCTCCCAGAGCCAAATACCTTGTCTAGAGGCACCCCTCCCCCATATCTCCCCTGGGCTCTTACAGGCATTTTCACACAAATGCACATATATTCAAAGTGTCATAATCCCTTCCTTCACACATACACTTGTGATTTATACCGAGTATGGCTCCAAACTCCCTGAGCATTGTGGGGAACTGCTGCGTGTGGAAGCTTCTTCCACCAACGTAGGTTAACTACTAGTCTATAACCCAGAGTCTTGGAGAGTAGGCTGGGAACACTGGGAAGTTAAGTCACTTGCCCATGGTCATGCAATTAGCATGTGTCGGAGGCAGGACTTGAACCCAGAGCTTCCCAGTTCCCATATTTAATTGCATCTCTTGGATGACGCATTCTCCTATAACTAGAAGCATTTTCTTCATTGGACACTGTGTGAGTGCTGCACACAAATGCAACATATACTTAAGCTCTTTTAGACCAATTAGTGTGCACATATGAGCGTGGGCAGAGGATAGCTTGGTGTTGGTGATTTTCTTCTCTCTTGTGCTGGGGAAGTAGCACTGGAAGTACTACACTGAGAGAGAAAGAGACGGAGAGAAAGATAGAGAAAAAGACAGATTTACAGACAGAAAAAAAGAGACAGAGAGATAAAGAGACAAACAGAGAGATAGAGAGACAGAAACAGAGAGAGAGAGAGAGGAAGGGAGAGAAGCAGAGGAAAAGAAAGTAAGAGACAGAGACAGACAGAGGCAGATACAGAGATAGATGGAATGTGGTGGCCTAAGAGAGAGATTGATCCACATTTTTTCTCCACTGGATCTTTTCTGACTCAGAGAGTTGCGTAGGAAGGACAGATGGTATTTCTGGGATATTTGCCCATTGCTAAGAAGCTCCATCCAAAATTCCTCATGTTAGGCCCTCAACCCATATAGACCAGAACTTTGGGGGTGTTGTTTCCATACCCAGTAGCCAGTCTACATAGCAGTATACATCATAGGTCTCTGATGCTGGGCGTAGGCCATAGGTCCTGACCCCTGGGCTGCTGTCCTTATCTCCGACACACGGGGTCCGGGGACTCACAATGGGGTATCTGTGGAGGAGAGAGTGAAAAAATGTTCAGCTTCTGACAATAGGAGACAGGGCTTTTGAAGCAAAAAGTATTAGTCACTTAAGGACTGAGAGGAGGAATGTCTTTGGCTCTTCAAATGGAAACATGATGAGGAATCCTGGACCTGGGACTTCCAGGCACAGAGAAACATGCAGCTTTGATACAACAGCATCATCATGAACATTAGCATCAGTTGTGAGGATGGATTTGGAGGCTTCATAGATGACCTGTGATTACAGGGAATAGCTTGGGAATCAAGATCACTAACTGAGCCGGAAAAGATTAAGAATGAGTGGGGCAGGTCTCTAGAGAAAAAGTAATGGGAAAGAAGGAGATGACTTCTCCCCCATCTACTTAGTGACTCTTGGAGGTATAAATTGTGAAGACTTATATTGAAAATCCTTCCTCTGTTTTTTGTCAAGATTGTCCCTGATTATCTCCTGTTCTTTGTTTTTTTGCTCTTGGCTGCAGAGAGAAATCAATAGCTATAGTTTGATTCTGGACTCCTAAGAGGCTCTTAAACTCCTTTTCTGTAGCCAAATTCTGCTGCCGAGACTAGAGGTCACCATGGTTGGGAAGTGCCTAGAAGTGTTGTACTGGTAGAGCTAACTTAGGAATGGGCTGCCTCAGAACAGACTAAATTCGAGTACAGTGTTGGAGGACCACTTTTTCTGGATATTGTAGAGATCATAGGATCATTGACGTGGAGATGGAAGAGAATAAAGAGGTCATTTTAATCCAACCCACTCATTTTACATTTGAAGAAAGTGTGACCTTGAGAAGTGAAGTGACATGAACCAGGATTCCTGATCATAAGACCATAGGTCCAGAACCAGAAGAGACCAGATGTCACTTTATCCTACGGCCTCGTTTTATAGACTGAAAAAACTGAAGCCCAAAGTATCACGACTTGCCTAAGGATTCCTGCTCAGATATAGGTTGGGTTAGATCTCTGAGGTCCCTTCCAGCCTGGAGACTGTAATTTCTACCTGAAGAGCTAAGGGACAAAGGGAAGCCCTGGCTCTGGGGCTCACCTGACTGTCTGGTCCTGCAGCCAGCCAGCATCGCATTGTTCATAGCCAGCTTCATAGGCTGCCTGTAGCTGTTCTGGTGTAGCGATGACAGCTCCCGTGGCCCTACAGGCCTGTTGGGCCTCTTCAAAGCTGAGAGAATATCTGGTGGAGCCTGGACGGTAGTGGAACACAACACCTGTTGGGAAAGAGAAGAAAAAGGGAAAAGTGGGTGGTGGCAGTGGTGAGGGAGATGCAGATTGAGACTTCTTTTCATTAAGTCTGGCAATGCTAAAAGCATACTTCCCATTTCTACTCCAAAGCCCCCACATTCCAAATCATTTTTGCTATTGCATCACACCTTTAGGTTTACTCATTGAATTAGCCAGACATGCCACTTGGTTTCAAAGACTCAGTTTTTTTTCTTCCTCATCATCATCATCAAACATTTATTATTGCCTGCATAGTAGGCAGTTACTGTTCTAAATGCTGAGGATTCAAAGAAAGGCAGACACAGTTCTGGCCTTCAAGGAGGTCACATTCTAAAGGGGGGACCACATTTGAACAACTATTTACCAACAAGATATACACAACATAAATGGGAAGTCACTTTGAAAGGGAGGTACTGTGGGGTGGGGTTCATAGATTTACCACTGTATCTGTTTCAAATGATTTTTAAAGTTATAAGAGACTTTAGAGCTCATCATTTTACAGGTAAGAGAACCGAGACCCATAAAGGTGAAGTGACTATAATGACAAGAGCAACAATTACTAGAAAGTAGTATAATTCTAGAACTGTGGATAATTGAAAAAAATTATTGTTTAATTATGACCAATCTGCTTTTTACCTTCCCACTTCTCCTTCTGATTTTGCCCTTACCTAATCCCTTATTCTGTGGCTGATAATTTTGAACAACTTGATTAAACCTCAGAACCTTGGCTCTCTTTCCCATTCCCTGGACTTCCAGGAAAACCTAAAGACTCTTACCAAAGGTACATTGATGGTTGTTTTCTTTTCAAGGGGGCTCTGAGGTGCTGTTTACACCTTCCCATTTTGTTGCTTTGAGAACGTAGGACCCCTTAACTGCTAAAGGATTCCCCTTTATTCCCCCATCTTTCTTTAATTTCTTAAAGTTTTCCATTTGCCATTCCTCATCGGTCATTGAATTGCTCTGTAGCTCTCATATTCTTCAGGCAAGCTTCCCACCAGGTGAAAGTTGATCAGTTAATAACTGATAGCTTTTATCCACTGGTTCTTTTTTCTAGCAGCTTTCTAGTACCTTTCCAACAGTCTACAGTTTTCCATATAAGATATCCACTCTTCCTACTCTTCTTACCAAATTGCACTTACCCTGATATATAATGATCACTGAAGAATTTAAAAAGAATATCACAGAGAGCAATGGTGAGACCTATGATAGGTATGAGTAGGCTACAACATGTAGCCAAAGAAGAACTTGTAAGAATAAGGATAAAACATGTCATCAAGGAGATGTAAGATAAGAAAATAGGATGGGCTGGTCAAATGGAGAAGGTGAGAGCTGATGGGTAGATAACCAGTACTCCACTTGTAGGTACCCTGGCAATGTCAGTAGAAGTAAGAAAGGCCTCCAGAACATTGGGTGCGTCTCCTGTGGTGTACTCATAGGGGGAGATCCTTCAGAAATGGGCAAGACATCCTTCAGAACAGCAAACATGGAGGGATTGTGATCTCAATCGCTAGAGAAAACTCCTAAATCAATGAGATCACATATCTTCTTGAGTTTTTGAATATTTGAGTATCAGATCTTTACTGCCAGATTTGTACGTCCACTATTTTTTATTTGCTTAGTAGTATATAGGCTTTTCTGATGCCTCCACAACAGTATTGTCCTTCTGAGATGCTGAGCCGAAAGGACTGATCCTAATTCTCTTTACATAGAGCCTATTCATAGGGCCATGGCAAGTTGATTCTAAATAAATAAATGATATGATAATCTATCTGTTGGTGCCAGTCCTTGTGATGGCTCTCCAGTGCTATGTGGGGTATTTCTAGGCTTCCCATAATAGGACTATCCAAAGACCCTCTGAATTCCTTCAAAGGGCTTGCAATCAAGTTAGTCTATATGATTTGAAGGATTTGTGGCTCTGTAAGATTATCTAATAATACCAAATTCTGCCTGTCTCCTACCTCTAGACCCATAACTAGGGTAGGGCAACTGGTTTTCAATCAGTTAGCATGTCAACATATTTTTAAGGTGAGATTTTGACAACGATACCCCCAAATGGGGAATTTTGTTCAACAGAAGTTCAATTGTTGAGGTGACCCTGATGGTGCTGGGGTTAATAGAAGGGTGCTGGTTGGATGAAGGTGAGATGGGCAAGAGAGGAAGCACTCATGGGAAAGTGCTGTGAGTACCCTCTAAATGTGTCACCTGGTGAAGGGTGCTTAGCACATAGTAGGTGCTTAATAACCATTTATTGGCTAACTGACTAAAGACCAGCTACCCAACCCTAGTTAGGGATCTGGGGGTGGGGGACAGGCAGTTGTGTCACATAGATCATGAGCTTGAGGCTGCTAAGAGAAGGCCTGAGAAAAGAAGGAGGTTCTACTTCTATTGGCATTTTTAACCCCCTTGAATTACAGAATTTTGGCTGAAAGGGACTTTGAAGATCATTCTAGTCCAACTACCTCCTTTTACATTTGGAGCTCTGACAAGCTGTGTTGTAACCAGGGCATAGACAGGGCAAGAATTTGGGTCTCCTGCCTTCCAGTCCCACGTTCTTTCCAATATAATTTATGGTGTGCATAGCACTGTGAATTGCCTGGCGATTTACCTGTTGGTGAGAGTGGGACAGCAGCAACTTCTGGAACAGCTGTTACCAGTGCAATCAAGTCCTCTCTTGTGAAGGCTGTGGCAGGTTCCAGCTCAGGGGTGACAGTAGCAGCCCCCTCTGTTACTTCACTGGGGAAAAGAGCATCACGGGAAGAAGCAGTGACCTCTGGAAGGAAGCCCCATGGTCTGGTGGCCTCCTCGGTCTCATTTTCCAACTCTGGGTAGCCTGTGCCACCCAGTGTCCAAGTGAAGGCTTCCTCAGGCTCAAGCCCAGTAGGAGTGATGACACTCTCTGAGGTGATGATGCTGCCTCGGGACTCCTGCTTGGTGACATTTTGAGGCAGCTGCAGTTCCACATCGGGCTGAGTGACTGTCTGAATAGTGATCTCCCCCTCACTGCTCAGCTCGTCAGTAAAACTCTCTGGTATGATCCCAACAAAGTCCTCCCCTGGAGTAGAAAGCAAAGGCCAATGGGAAAATCAGGGAAGCACATCTGTTGAAAGTCTCCCTCATCTCCCCCTCCCTTCAGCACTCCCATCTGGGCCATCCAAGATGGGCAAGGGGACAGGTTGAGTGGGCCCCATATCTAGAGTTACACAGATGCTTTCAATGATCACATTGTGTCTGGCCTCCATCTCTCAGATGTTGTTCTTGTTGCCTGTTTATGTGCCAGCAGAGACAGTGAAGAAACCATATGGCCCCACATTTGTGTACAAGTGGCATCTGCTTGGCCATGCATGGCATATGCTACTGAGAGACAGATTACCTCTGCTGGAAAATTCTCAGGATGTCCGAACTTTAGAAGACCACTTCTACTATCACTACCTCTTATTTACATGGTACTTTATGGGTTTTAGATTAATTGACAGCTCATTTAAATACATTTGCTCATAGAAGAGCTTCTAATGACAAGGAATCAATAAATCAAGTATCTAGGGACTGATGATGCCTCAATGGATCGGGCTAAAATTAAAATGTTAGAGCTGGAAGGAGCATTAAGCATCTTTAATCTAGTCACTTCTACAAATGGGGACAAAGGCTTGAAGAAATTAAGAGGCAGTGTGACACAGTTCAAAGTGGACTAGGAGGGGGCTCTTCATATGGGGATTCTGGACCCGCAAAGGTCCATAGACTTGGATGAGAATAGCTTTATTTTCTACTATTTTTAGTTTTATTTTTACAAACTTTTGGTTGTCTTTATAATCCCATGAATCTTATTCTATACATTTCAAAACGTGACTCTGAGGAGTCTGGACATACATAAACTTCTCCAGACTGTCAAAGGGGTCCATGACACAAGAAAGGTTAAGAATCCCTATTCTAAGGAGATATCAGTTTTAGCCAATGCTCTGCCACTAACTAGCAGCATAATCTTTGGTGGATCATTTAACTCCTCTGTGCCTCAGTTTCCTCATTTGTAGAAAAAAGGGACAAGAACTCTGATCTCAAATATATGAGAGGTCTATTTTGAGGATAAAATGAGACAATATATGTAAAAGTAACTTCAAACTGAATACTACTATACAACTACAAGGAATTATTGTTTGTGTTACTATTATTAGTGAGGCAGCCATTGTGTAGTATAGAAAACTGGCCCTGAAGTCCAAGAGACTGGAGTTTAAGTCTTGCCTGTGATACCAATGGGCTTTGTGACCCTGGGAAAATCAGTTAACCTCTTAGTGCTGCAGGCACCAAGGATAGAAGTTACAGAGAAGGTGCTAACAGGCATTGCTTGAGAGAGTTTACTCATCTAGGAGTTCCATATACCACAGAAGTTACAGACCCCCTATTGCTAATATTAATTAAAATGATCATAATGACAAATATCTTGCCCCCGGTCACATAGCTATTTAGTGAATGAACTCAGGTCTTTCATCTCACTGTTTGGTGATCCTTCCACTTGAAATAAGGTATAGCTAAATCCAACAATGAACTCTTATTGCCCCTAACTGGTACTGTCCCCCAAATTTGGGCTACTTTGTGGGTGATGGAGCAAATGCTCAAATACTCTTTGGAATAATGCAATCTTAGCTAGTGGTTACCACTGCATTGAGGGGAAACGCTGGTATATACCAGGATCATAGGACATAGGAGCCTATAGTCAAGACTAGGAGATATAGGTTAAAATTTCCCCTAGGATACAGGGGCATGGTAGAGTGGATAGAATGCTAGACTTGGCATTGGGAGGAACTGAGCTCAAATCCCACCTTTGGTACTTCCTAGCTATGTGATTCTGGAAAAATCACTTAACACTCTGAGTCTCTGTTTCCTCATCTATAAAATGGAGATAAGGAACTGTATAGGACCTACCTTATATAGTTAGCATGAGGTTCAAAGGACCTAATCTGTGTCAAGAGCCATATAAATCTGATTCCCTATAACACGGATGTGTACAAGAAGTCTTTGTATAAGATTGGGTGGTTTGTAGGTATCTGGCGTATGTACCCTTCACTACTTGGGGTCAGGAGTGGGGCACCTTTCACAGGTGATAGAGTTGGTTTTACAGTGATAAGTATTTGAATTTAGTGGCCTTTGGTTTTAGAAGGACGTCATTCTGTTTTCCTGTAAATCAGGCTTAATCCCACAGCTAAGGTAAGAATGTTCCCATCTCTAACTCTCTAAAGAAAAATATGGGTTTTTCTCCATTTGGGGTATTCCTCTAGCACCGGGGAACTCAATAGTTAATATGGTCTAGTTCTGAACTTTTGGTGATCACCTTTCTGTTTTGAATTTTTTTAACTGAAGACACTTTTCCCTAGCTGGTCTGCACTGCCCCCCAGCGTTGACATGGCAGAGCTGCAACAAGAGGAACTGAGTTTGAGTCCCGGAGAGAGAATTGCCTGTCATCACTATAAGTAAGAGCAGTAGGGCCCGAAGGCATGCAGAGGTGGAAAGGAGCAGAGATGCCCCTTTCACTGCCCATGGAAGATTGTCCTGAGGTGCCAGCTACAGGCTCAGGGCTGTGGGACACAGGGGAATCAAGCAGGTTCTTTTCCTGGGGAATTTAAGGGAGACAGATAAAGGCAAAGAGGTGTGTGTCTTAGATCAAGCAGCCTTGCATTTGGTGGTGAAAGGTCAGTGATTGTAGGGGAAAGAATAGCCAAGGCTTAGAGAGGTGGTGAATCTGCAGCCCTGCTTGGTTCCGAGTTTCTCTACCCGCTGTATTGTTACTGTGGTGTAGGTGGTATCTGGATTGATCTTGGGGTTATAGCTAGCACTGCCCCAGAGCCCAAGCACAGAATGTACCAGAACGGATGAAGTGAGTGTTGAATTTAAAGGATGTAGACAGATCTAGGCTAGCTTTGCCTTGTTGTTGTTGTTGTTCAGTCCTGTCTGACTCTTCAGGGTGTTCTTGGCAGATGCTGGAGTGGTTTTGCCATTTCCAGCTTGTTTTACAGATGAGGAAACTGAGGCAAATAGGGTTAAGTGACTTGCTCTGGGTCATACAGCTAGTGACTATCTGAGGCCAAATTTGAACTTAGATCTTCCTGACTCTAGGCAGGTGCTTTACCCATTGCTGTATCCTAGCTTCCCTATAGCTTTGCCTATCTGGATGCTTGCTATCAGCTGAACTTATTTTCGATTCCTTCTCCCTATAAGAAGGAGATATCTAAGGGGAGAACCATAGAATCATTCAATAGTAAAGTTGTAAAGTACCTTAGACATCTTTTAGATCAACACTATCATTTTACATATGGGGAAACTGAGGCCCAGAGAGGACAAGTGATTTGTTTCAAATTAATACCACAAATTAGTGGCAAAATTCATGTCTATTGATTTTCTCCCCAGTGTGGACTGGTATGTATGTATGGGGGGAAACTGCGGGGATAAGCAGTTATTTGATTGAAGTGCTAAGCCTATACCACTTTTCCTTTCTTCCTCTGCAGGAATTACTTGCCCTGTCCCCCACCCCAAACCCTGAAATTGCAAGAAACCTACCTGTGTAGCAGATGGCATCGTAGCGGGATAAGGGGTCCGGATAGCCTGTCTGATTGGCGTGCAGGTACACAGTCCTTACCCCTAGGAGGTTGCCCCCGCAATTAGGACGTGCCTTCGAGATGGGGTATCGGACACTGCGGTCGGCCAGCCAGCCAGCACTGCACACGTCCATTCCACTTTGCCAGGCCAGGTACAGCTGCCCAGTGGTTGCCAGCCGGGCTCCCAGGCGCCGACACTCATTTGCTGCCTCTTGGAAGGTGAATTTCTCCGGGGATGTAGAATAAAAGACTTCCCCTAGAAAGCACATGTCAACTAATGTGAGCATTTTCCTCTCTTCCTCTAATAGGACCTTATCAAAAACCCTGGTTCTCCAAGTGCCCAAAGTCTCGATTGTCCAGGCTCTTTTCCCCATTTCTTCATATTCCTAAGGCCACAGTTTTCCCAAGTGCTAAGAATCTCAGACTCCTATTTATCCATTCCTTTAATTCCTAGGTCCTCATTTTAGCAGGTCTTTGAAAGTCTCAGACCTTGATCAGTAACCCATCCCCCAAAGAGCCAGCTCCCACAGATTCAAGGCTCCTGATCTCCAATCCTTTGGGCAGGCCAATATCAAGAAAACAGAGAAAGTCAAAGGGAGAGAAGCTAAAATGACAAAGTAGTGGTTGAAAGCAAAGCTGGCTTTATCTGTGAGCAGAGTAGGTGTGATATGAGGGGCAGCAGGAAGGCTCTGCTGTCTAAATATATCTCCTCTACTGGTCTGTTTCTAGTACATGAATTCCCATGCCTGGAAATGAATTCCTGGGCTCCTTTTAAAATAGAAATTCTCCTGGGAGTCAAACATAGTAAATAAGGGCTGGACCAGATGACCTTTGGAAGACATCTCTTCCAAATAAGATTCTGTTCATGTAATGCCTGACATCTTAGTATAAATAAGCTTATCAGTTCTTTTCTCTAAGGCAAAAGGAGGTATGTGAGAGTACAGGGTACCTGCCTTGGAATTTGGGGAAATATCCCCCAAAAGGAGAACTGGCTAGTAAAAGGGAGGAGGGAATGGCATATGGCATATCCACTTCAGTTATAACCACAGCTTATCACATTTTCCCATCTGAGCCTGTGAGTTATGTAGTTATTTCCAAACTACTTTTTCCCTATTCTGATTGATGCCAAGGTCATATATGTCCTTAAAACAATTAATACTGCTTAAGTAAGGTCCAGGCTGAGGAAGTGAATGTAGGGGTACCCTGAGCATAAGCATGAAAATGGGCAGCTAGCTCTGTTGGGATGGATTTGAAAGCTCCATTTATTGGTTCAGGTGGAAATTCAGGTTCAGGAGTATATATTATGGCCACAAAGCAGAATAGGTGAATTCTCCAGATGGTAGGACACTAGGAAAAGTATTAAGAGAGAATAGGCTATGCTGCTCATTTCATTGCCTTGCTGGAGGAACAGACAGGGTAGGCCACCTCATAGAGCCCTGGGTAAATGCCCATCTGTTTTATGGCCCTGGTGATATGTCTTTTGGAATAAACAGACATACTTACCTTCCATCTCCTCTGCAAAGCAGTAAAAGCAGTACACATCATAGGTCTCATTGGTATCTCGGATGCCATAAGTCCTTACTCCAGGGAATTCATCCTTGTCTCCATAGCAGCCTTCACGGGGGGCTGTGGATAGGGTATCTAACAGAAACGGAGTGAGAGGGTATAGAAGACAGAATGAGAGGGGAACCAGCTGCAGGCTGGACAAAGCCTGCCTGTGACTATATGTACATGTATCAATGTGGCTGCAGATACGTATGTAGTCCAGTGGTGTCAAACTCAAACAGAAATGGGGGGCCACTGATGTATACATAAGGATCCTTGTGCTCCACATATGACTTGAGTTTTAAAATGTAATATTATCAATGCTTTACTATATATTTATTTTATTAAATATTTCCCAATTATACTTTAATTTGGTTCAGACCATATTCAGTAGGGTTGTGGGTTGCATGTGGCCTGAGGGCTGCATGTTCAACCTCTGGTATAGTCTACCTATTTATTCAACTATTTTTTAACATCTGTATTTTTTTTTAAGTATTTGAGAGGCAGTTAGGTGGCTAAAGTGTTAGGCTTGGAAGCCAAGAAAATCCAAGTTCAAATTCTGCCTCAGCACTTACTAGCTGTTTGTCTCTGGGTAAAATCACCAGACTTCTATCAGCCTCAGTTCCCTCATCCGAAAAATGGGGATAATCATGGTACCTACATCACAGGGTTGTTGTGAGGATAAAATGAGATAATATGTAAAGTGCTTTGCAAACCTTAAAGTACTATAGAAATGTTAGCTGTTATCATCTGGTCTTCCCATCTTCTCTGTAGGTTTTGTTCCAACTAGACTGTGAGCTCCTCCAGGGTAAGAAAGAATATTGCCTCTTACTGCTGTTTGTTACTATCTATCACTGATAATGCAACAGCAGTCACTCTGGAGGTGTTTGATAAAGTTTGCGTTGACCAAATGCCGGCTAAGAACAGTACTTGCTGGAATGAATCCATCATTCTAAGATAAAATAATAGGTTTTTTTTTGTGGGGCGTAGGGTCTGGACCTATGATTCCAGCTGTGTAAGGTACTCTTGGTATAGAAATGCCTTCTACTAATGTAGATCAACAACTCTAACTGACTCCCTTAGAGGATTAGTTGAGTTATTGAAAGGTTAAATGTCTTGCTCCTGGTCCCACAGCTAGAGTATGTCAGAGATAGGATGTAAATCCAGGTCTTCTGAATTCCAAGAAGGACCTTCTCTCCATTATAATATATTTATTAAGTATCCACAATGCACTCAGCACTGTACTAGGCAAGGTATTCTCCTGACTTTCTCTCCTATCCCAGTCTCCTAGTCCCTAAATCTTACTATTCTTCCACTCCCCCTTCTCACGTTTGGATCCTGCCGTGGAAAGCCTACCTGACAGTTTGATCAGCCAGCCAGCCAGCATCACACTGGTGGTAGCCATCGTCATAGGCAGCCTGCAGCTGCTCAGGGGTGGCAATGACGGCACTATTCTGTAGGCAAGCCTGCTGTGCCTTCTCAAAATCCAGGGTGTAGCGGGTAGAGATGGCTCTGTAATGGAACACGATGCCTGGAAAACACACACACACGCACACACACACACACACACACACACACACACACAGATGTCAGTCAGTATCTCTGATGCCTTGCTAACATCATATTTGGAGGCTACCTCTCTTTTCTGGGGAAAAGGATTCTCTGAGTCCCTTGGAAAAAATAAAAGTGGCCCCAGTAGATTTCTTAGTTGTCCTTGGATTTAAAGGCTTTCCTCTAAGATAGGGATTCTTAACCTCTGTTTGTGTCATAGATCCCTTTGGCACCCTGGTGAAGCCAATGGACTCCATCTCAGGATGTTTTCAAATGCATAAAATAAAGTACATAGAACTACAAAAGAAACCAATTATATAGAAATATAAGTTGGAAAATACATGTATTTTTAAAGCTCAAGTTCAGGGATCCTGAGTTCTCTGCTCTATGAATACCCATTTGGGATTATCTTTTGAGAAAGATAGAGTTGGTCATCTTCCCCAGAACTTCCTATTTGTCTTCTGTTGGGCAAAACCTGGTGACAATGTGGATTGGTGCCAGAAGTATTGCTGTTACCCCAAGAAAGACTATACATTCTCTCTGGGATCATAAAGAAAATAGACATGTAATATAACATTAGTCACTTTCTGTGACTTCTGAGATTACCCTGGAGGTAGGGCAGCATGACATAGTAGAAAGAGTGCTAGACAAAGAATTGTTGTTGTTACTGTTTAGTTGTGTCATCATTTGGGGTTTTCTTGGCAGAGATACTGGAGTGGTTTGCCATTTCCTTCTCCATCTCATTTTACAGATGAAGAAACTGAGGCAAATAGGGTTAAATGATTTGCCCAGGCTCCACAGTGAGTGAGTGTCTGAGGCTAGATTTGAACTCAGGAAGATGAGTCTTTCTGGCTCCAGGCCCTGCACTCTGTGCACTATGGTGTCACCTAGCTGTCCTGACAAAGAATTAGGGGACAGTATGATCACAACTCCGCGACTAACTTGCTAACATGCTATTAACTTGCTGTGTGACCCTAGCTAAGCCACTAGGCCTTAGTGTTCTCATCTATAAAACGGTAATGTCTTGAAGTAGTTTCTGGGAAATAAACAAGAACATGCATATAAATGCATTCTTAAAAGTATAAATGTGAAGTATGATTATTGTTACTTCAGAAGGTAAAATTGTGGGGCAGCCACCTAGCTGCTCCTGGAGTCAGGAAGACCAGAGTTCAAATTTGGCCTCAGACCAAGCACTTGACACTTACTAGCTGTGTGACCCTAGGCAAATCACTTAACCCCAATTGCCTAAAAACAAACAAACAAACAAAAACAAAAGCAAAAAAAGACCCCAGAAGATAAAATTGTTTCCTTTGGGCAAAGGACAGGTCATAAATACTCAGGGAAGGAAATCTGGAGAAAAAATGTCTTGGAACTATCATAGGATAATAGGTGGATCCTGGAATCATAGATTTAAAGCTGGAAGGGACCTCTGAGGCCTTGAAGTCCAACCCTCTCATATGTTTCCCACATATGAGGAAACTGGCACAAGAGATTAAGTGACTTGTTCAGGGTCATGTAACTAATATGTTTCTGAGGTGGGATTTGAACTCAGGTCCTCCCTGATTCCAAGTTTAGTTCCTAATCCAATACACCTGAGTTGGGATAGAGGGTTCCCATGAGGAGGAGGCAGGGGGACCCTCACCTTTCACAAGGACCTCCAGGGTAGCCTGGCTGTCCTCGATGCCATGCATCACCTCGCAGCGGTAGACGCCCGAGTCATTGGAGCGAAGGTTGTTGATCTCCAGCGTAGCGTCACTGGGGATGGCAGGGTAATTGGGCAATGAGATCTTGTCCTGGTAGTTACTGTTGACCCGCACACGCCCCTCCGTGGCTACCAAAAGGACCACTTCCTTCTCCTCCGAGAGGCGGCTCCATTTGATCCGGGGGGAGAGTGGGGGTGTGGAAGGGGCCGTCGTCACAGGGTGCACAGGGTCAATGAAATAGCAAGGGATGGTGAGAGAGTTCCCAAGGAGGACACGAAGGGGAGAAGGCTCTGGGATGCTCACACTCAGTGAGTTGCCATGGTCTAGAAAGGGGGGAGAACAGGAGAGAGATAGGCCATTAGCACCTTAGGAACAAACAGACAACTGTGTTATTCTAAATTAGGAGGAGCTACCCCCCTCCGATTCACCAACAGGGATAATGCCTTTGAGTCTAGTGCAAAAGCTTGGTGTGCTCTTATTGCCCAATGCATTGTCTCGTTTGACACCCTTAGCATGAACTCTACGACTGAACAGAGAGGCATCCTTTTCAAATTCCAAGTGATAAGAATTCATGAGAAAATGAGGCCCTGGGAAGTTCTGGTCAGTGAGCCTCCAGAAGGGCATTATGCAATTTAAAAAGATCCAGACAAGGTAAATGTAAACATTGGAGAATAGACTAGGTCTCTTTGCTTTGGAAAGACAAAGGCCGAGAGAAAATAAAATTAAAGACCACAGAATCCTAAATATTGCCAATAAGATAAACACAGACTTATTCACTAAATCCTAGGACATTAGAAATATCCCTTACTGCTTATAGAAGGTAGTTTGCAGATAAATAAAATTTTGAACAATGAATAGTGGAAACAGAAATTTTTTTGAGGTTGTACATGCCATCCTGAAAATGTAAAGCAGTTCAAGAAATTTTGGGGAGAAGACAAGGATATCTGGATCATATTCCTAACTTTTTGAGGCAAAAGACATGAATGGTAACTACTTATTGAGAGACCAATCAATCAATCAGTATTTACTAAGTGCATACTATGTGGCAGATACTGCACTAAATGCTGGGGATATAAACGCAAAAGTGATAGAGTCTCTGCCCTCAAAGAGCTTAGGAGGATACAATACAGATAGAGGAGTGGTAACAAGGGAAGGGAGTTTTGGCTTTATTGGTCAGGGATTGTGAATGGAGTCGGAGGGTAGTAGATTTTTATACCCTCTCTGGCAGAACCATGGTAGTTTTGATTTAATTAAAGCTCCCAGAGCAAGAACAAGATATTGGGAGAGGTGGTGCATATATGATCATGGGACACTTGGCAAGATGCTTGAGATGGGTGGGCCCTAGTGCCTTAATTGGTGAAGCACCACTGCTCCTCTGACTCTGAATGTAATTTCTTATGTTCTTATGAAAGAAATTAAGACAACTACAATGTCCAGCAAGTTATTAACGCTCCCCCCCCCCATAATATTAAGGAAAGGGCTTATGACACTGACTTACTCTGAGTAGTTGAATTGTGGTTTTGCCTGAATGTTGGATAATGAGGTTTTATGATGATATCATAGGCTCTTAGAGTTAAAACAAATAAACCTCAGAGATCATCTAGTCTAAGTCTTCCCTGAAACATGAAGCCCTTCTACAATGTTCCTAGTAGTCACTGAGTCTCTGCTTAGACATGTTCAATGATGGGGAACTTACAACCCATTTGATTGTGTATTTAAGAGGTTCCTTTCTCCCTGCTTCATATAGTTTCCTTCTTTTTTTTCTCTTTTTTGACTTTATCTGTGCCTTTAAAAAACTTTATCTTTCAATTTATCTATGCCTTATCTTTGTCTAGGCTTCCTGTCTCTCCAATTTAGCTTGTAAGAGCTGCTGGCATGTTCCAGTAGAGGCGCAGGTGGTATTGTCGTGGTATCAGTGAAAAGACCTCTGCCAGGATTTGTCTAATGATGTCAGATTACCCGACAGAGGCCAGTAAACGGTCCTACTGTTGTTGCTGTTATCATTGTTACTGATCCTTCATTTTTGAAGAGGACCAGTGACTTCATGAGAGTGATGTCTTGACTTGCATGTGACCTTACCACTCTGTTACTCCCACAACCTCTAACGAAGTAAAGTTCTGTGGTGTTACTGTGTATTGTGTCTGTATCAAGTAGGAATCAAGAAGGAGGAAGTAGAAAAAATCATCTCCTCATTGGTACTTCCCATGTACTTTATTTGAATAATTTCCACCTGCCTATGTGTCATATCCACTCAGTAGAATAGGTAAACTATAAAAATAAGTAAAGACTGGTCTTTTTCTTTTGTCTCTACATCTCCAAGGCCTAGCACAGTGTCTTATGCCCAGTTAGTACTTAATAAATGCTTATAGAATTGGAGTGGCACTCTCGTCCACGATGAGCAGATGAATAGAAGTAGCTTTTGAGAGGTTTCAATGTTTGGAGTACAAGACCAAAATGATTCTTGGATTAGATTGTATTTATGGGTCTGTTATGATGCAGACAACAGCTCCTCCATAGTTTTAGTCTTTGGCCAGGGGTGTGGCCAGAGGCCGTGGGCTGATAATCTCTGAATTTGGCTAGGCTGGCTCATCCTCCAATAACAGACATGTAATAGGCCCATACTTGGAGTCTTTCCATTTGGATAAGTCTTGTGAGGGCTGACTCTTTGCTGACCTAGTCTTTGAGAAGCTAAGGTCACCTCAGCCCTGAATCAAGCCTCTGGAGTACCTTAGGGGAGGACATGATCACTAGTTAGGGAGTTCAGGAATGTTGGAGCCCTTACCTGAAACTTCCACAGAGATGGCTGCAGTGATGACTCGAAAACTGAACAACACTAAGAGTAAAGTGGTCATAATTTACCTGGAATAGATAAAAAAGAAACCCAGAATTTGGATGGTTAACATGGAGTGAAGCCAAGGAAGAACAAAGGTCCCAAGGAAGACCCTCTAGGAAGGTTACACTCTAAAGCCAGAGGTGATATGGTAGATAGGACATTGGACCTCGAGTCAGGAAGACCTGAGTTCAAATTTGACCTCGGACACTCACTGTGTGATACTAGGCTTAAGTCTGCTTCAATTTTCTCATCTGTAAAATGGTAAAGAGCACCTGCCTCTCAGGGTTTTTGTGAGGATCAAATGAGATAATATTTGTGAGGCACTTTGCAAATCTTGAAAAGTGCTGTATTAACACTAGTTGAAATTATAATTCCTTCCCCCTAGTTAAAGAAAATATTCCTTGCAGTGACTCTTGGCCTCACAAAACCTTTAGAAGAATGAGTCTATGTAAAAACCAAACAAAAACAAAACTCCACTAAGGTAATATATAAAAAAATATTCCTAGGACACCTCAGTGCCTCCCATATATTAGGCACTAAATAAATGTTTTTTGAATTGTTCTTGCTGCAGTGAGAAAGCTCTCTCCCTCATGACAGTGATTAGTCTCAATGACCTCTAACCTTTTATAGACACCACTTTGTTAAGAAAATAAGTTTCTGTGATGTCTTTTGTCCTTATCTAATGGTCTTTTTTGGAATATACCAACAATGAACCCGTCCCATAACAAGAAAAGGTAAGCAAAACCAACCAAAATACAGTGACTGTGTCTGACAGTGCATCTAACTTTTTGCCCTCATGGCCCCCCACTTCTTTTCCAAGAGGAAAAAGGTATATCTCCTTATCTCTTCTCTGGAATGATTATTGTTTCTTCAGTTACTGTTCAGTTTCCGTGAAGTGATCTTTTTCATTTACATTTTACTGAGGATAGAATTGAAACTCCAAGAGAATGACTTGACCAATCATTCGTGTTGTGCTTCTTTTATCCCTTCCCCAGTTTCTGATACAGGAGCCTTGCTTTTTTCTCTTGGATGCTAACATGCTCAGGAGATTTAGGAAGAGTTCATGGGATGGAATCCAGATACACACAGAAGCCACAGAAACTTAGCAACACTCAGCACTCAGAAAGATGGACAGAAGGTACTCTCCTTAGTCAATGGAGCTATCTATGCCCCAACAGAGCCTGACTGGACCTTAGAAAATGGGTAAGAGGGTAGCTGAAGACAGTCTTCAATTTACACAAGAATTCGCAGAATTTCAGAGTTTGTAGGGACTTTGCAGACCATCTGATCAACCTGTATCTGAACTAGAATTCCCTCTGTGTCACATCCAAGTTCTGTTTGTTGGAATTGGCTATCTAGCTATCTAAATGGCTATGTAGCCATTGCGGGAAGACCTTCAGTGAGGAGACCCTCCAGCTTCCTTAGCACCCATTCCACATTGGGATAGCTATGATTTTCTTACCTCAAATCTAAATCTGCCACTTTTCACCTTTCACCTTCTCTCCTAGCTCTGCCCCCTGGCCAGAATAAAACTGATTTCTCTTCCATTTAGCAATCCTTGAAATATCCGAAAGCAGATTTATTGCCCTCCTATTATGATTTCTCCTGTTTAAAGATGCTTTCAAACCATCCTCATAGAGCACATATTCCCATTCTATCTCATCCTTTTGCTTCAAGTATTAACCATATAAGTATTTAAGTTAGTTTAGAATCATGTGATTTTGAAATGGAAGGGACTTTAGAGAACTTAACATTTACAAGGAAGGAAACTGAGGCCCATACAGAGGGGAAACTAGGTGGTGTAGAGGATAGAGTGCTGAGCTGAGAGTCAGGAAGACATGGGTTCAAATCTGGCCTCAGACACTTACTAGCTGTGTGACCCTGGGCAAGTCATGCAATCCTGTTTGCCTCAGTTTCCTGGAGAAGAAAATGACAAATCACTCCAGTGTCTTTGCCAGAAAACCCCAAATGCGGTCATGAAGAATTGGACACCACTGAAACATCTCAACAACAATAACCACAACTTTATAGAAGCTTAGGAAAGGAGGAAGGAGGAAAATTTGAAATTAAAGTGTTGGGATTTACTGTATAAGACCATAGATCTGATGTTGGAAGGCTATTTAGTCCTACTCCCTGATTTTACAGTTGAGGAAACTGAGGCTCAGGGAGATTAAGTAACTGGGCTGAGGTCACACAGGTAGTCAGGGTCATGAATTGAATCTAGGTCCACCTATTACAAAGCCAGTGTTCTTTCCGCGGTTCTGCAGAGCCCCCAGAGTCTCGTAAACTATAATGTTAAGTCAAAAGTGAAATAGAATTTAGCTTTTAGGAGTAACTTCGTAGGAACATAGTCTCTGTAGAACTACCCTCCAGTAGATGTCACTATTTGCTTATTCATCTTTCACTGCAGAGGCTAATTTCTTTAAAAGAGCTTGTAGAGGAAAGGACTTCTAGCTTTCCTTGAGAGGAAGGCCCAGGAGGGGGCGCTATGGCAGTATAGTCCTAAGGTGTAGCCCCATACACCTCAGTGGCTGCTCGTAAGTAAATCATGGTTTTAACTGCAGCAATGGAAAATTTGACCCACATAACTAGAATTATATTTCTTTAGACATCAGGGGATTTTTTTCCCCATTCAATCCAATCTAACCCAATCTAACAAACATTTACTTAGTGCCTTTTATGAATAAAGCACCAATACCAAAGAAAGATTAAATACTCAGTGATCCTTAACCTTAAGGATCGGGTAGGATTATGCCCTTAATAATCTGGTAGACAGAGTAGACACAGACATAAATGACTAAAACAATTTAGAAAAAAAAAGAGTGAATACTTCAATATGTTAAGAATGTTTACTTTAAGATGAAGCCAAATGGTGTAAGATGAATTGGATTCAAATCTTTCCTCAGCTGATTACCACCTGTATAACTGCCTATAAGTCGCTTAATCTCCCTAGGACTCAATTTCCAAATGTGTGAAGTTGGATTAGATGGCCTCTGATATCTCTCTTTTCTCTACATCAAAGATCCATGTAAATGTTCCCTGCCTCATGCTGATCACAGTCTCTCTATCACTTTATTTTATTTTAAAAATAATTTTAATTTTTCTTATTCTAAGCTTGGTAAACAAGAAGAAACACATATTTCCAGGAAAATGTGAAACAACCTCATATTCATTATATACAGCTATCCCGATATTCTTCTGAACCTCTTTCTGTTCCCTTTGATTCATTTAAAAAAACACTGCAGCGATCTTCTTTTGTTTCTTTTTTCCCCTTCTGTATCACTTTCATCACTCTTCCCCCTCTCCCAAATCTCTTCTCATCCTCAATTAAAGAGAAAAAAAACTTTCATAACAAATAAAACTAGTCGAGAAAAAGGAATACAAACAGTGATCATGGAGATGGTCTCCATCTGCACCTTGAATCCTTCCCCTTTTTGTCAGGTGGTCCTCACCACTTCAGAAATTATTCTTTGTGAGTTGTGGTGGTTAAGAAAACCCATTCCCTGGTGGTTGAAGCTGTGCTGATGAAACATTCTGAACTGACCTAGTCTAATCTTCAGAGGAAAGACAATAGTCTATCAATGACTGAAGGCAAAGCTCTTCCAGCTTGGTAGGACACATCAGAGTTGGTGTTCTGTTGACATTCTTTGCTGTGGGGCAGCTTGGTGGTGTAGTGGATAGAGTCAGGAAGACTCATCTTCCTTAATCAAAATCTGGCCTCAGACACTTACTAGCTGGGTGACGCTGGGCAAGTCACTTAACCCTGTTTGCCTCCATTCATGCAAAATGATCTGGGAAGGAAATGACAAACCACTCTAGAGCCTTCACCAAGAAAACCCCAAATAGGGTCATGAAGAGTCATGACTGAACAATAACAGCAAACACCAATGGCATTCTTTGACAATTTAGCTCCAATACACCAAGCTCTGCGGAAGATTCAAAAAAGGCCACTACCACTTCCACATCAGAAATGGAATAAGACTAATGTTACCAAAATTAAAACCAAAAACCCTTCCAAATATGATAATACACAAGAAGCAATGAAGAACTGGGCAAACATCAAATATTGACCTATTGGCCACCCTAAGGCTGACTTGAGCAAAGGCTTAAGTTTTGGGTGAGGTCAAACAGAGTGATTAGAAAGGCTCAAGAAGGAAGATAAGGGACAAAATGGAATCTGTGGCCCATTTTCATACATTTTGAAGCTGGTGCATGGCAGGTGGTAAAGGGACATATCATGAAGACTGTTTCTCCAAAATACGTGATACATTGAGCCTCTTCTCCATTCTACCCCCTTTTGCTTTGTATGAAGTACCTTCTGCTAGCATCTGTTTATTAAAGCAGAGGTATAAAACTCATGGGCCCTGGAACCACCCTTGACTGCAGCCAAGCAGATAGAAATATAATTGTGAAATATTTAACAAAATAAATAAAAATACCATAGAACATAGATAATGTTAATATGTGGTTTTCTAAGTTGATGTGCAGCCTGCAGGGATTCTTATGAGTAATTTAGTGGCCCTGTTTCTATTTGAATTTTTTTTTTTTAGGCAATTAGGTTTGAGTGACTTGCCTAGGGTCACATAGCTAGTAAATGTCAAGTGTTTGGTCTGAGGTTAAACTCGGGTCCTCCTGACTTCAGGGCCAGTGCTCTAACCACTGTGCCACCTAGCTGCCCTTTCTATTTGAATTTGACACCATTGCATCAACTCTTATGTGAAAGGCACTGGGCAACAGCCTATAGAAGGTGCAGAGATGACCAGAGCTTTTCCTTTTGGGGTAAATCACTTCGGGGTCTACTAAATACTAGATAAATATGCTTTATTTGGGTGGGAATCCTTGGATGCTGGCGCTTTGCCCTTGAGACCTTTGACCTTTGTATCTTTGGGGCAGGTGCTGGCCATCAGTCCTGCCATCCCTCTCCTTCCAGCCATCAGTCCAGGACCAAAGCCCCTTCTGAGTGAAGTTCTCCAACCCTGGGGAAGATAACATTCCACAGCAGTGTGACCCTTCGGGCAGAGCTGAC